AATCAGGGCACCTTCATTTTCAATGTAAGGCACAAAATAGGAATCAATCCGGAAACGGTCTAGATCAACAGCCAGTTAATCAGTGTAGTACTAAATGGTGTGTGTGCTATAATAAACCAACTCACAACACACAGGAGTATAAAAGGATGGGAAACGGCAAGACGAGCGCTTACCCTCGCGCTCCGACACAAAATGAAGGGTGCCTGGACTGCACTGCCTCAGCAACCATCGGCAGTGCAGGAGTGGACGTGGCAACCGCAGTAACTGTTACGTTGAGTGACTCTCAAGTGCATTTGATAGAGTCACAATTATGGGGACTGCTGGGGCATGGACTTAGTGCCTTACTGATTGGGCGATCCTCTATCTCCCGTCAGGGTATCTTTGTAGTCCCAGGATTAATTGATGCGGATTTCCAAGATTCTGGACCACTATGGGTACCCAGCTGATGGGTCAAACCAGATTGGCGAGGCTGCTCATTTTAATTGCCTGGATGACTGCTGTAGCAAAAGGTCTGGAAGACCCACTCTTAAGCATGGCATTGCCTCGAGACAACATATGGGTAACATGGGCAAACAGAACCAACACTTCTAGTTTTTGTGTGTCTTTAACAGCCATGTCTGACCCATTCCGCACTTGTTTAATTGGTATACCCTCTCTGGAGCCAGAAAGATTTGTGGGATATATAAGTAACATTTCGTTAGCTAACCGAACCATATTGCAACAGAAAGGAGACAAGGCTAGTGTGTCTGATAACTGGTGTAATGGAAATCAGACAGCCTGCCAACAGCCCCAGGCCAACAAACAGGTTTGGTGTGGAGGTTGTATCAATGGTAATATCGCAAACCGGACACTAGCTTGGATGTCTGTTTTTTTGATTCAGCATTTGAATAAAGCTTTACTGTGGGATCCACAGGAAGTGCAGCTGGCAGGATCCATAAACGGAACTAAAGATGGCTTGTGCTTTGGCTTTAGCGCTAATATAATTGATGCCCCAGCTAAAGCAAGGTGTGTAAGTTCTCGTATTGGCATGCAGTGTCATCTACTTGATGTGTGGACAGATGTGTCTGGATCAGGTATTTATGGGATACGGGATGCTTCTGAAGCCCGAGCATGGTGTGGGGGAGCTGTAGGTCTAGAAAAGTTTGGCAGTTTCCAAACATGTCATTAACTTTGCCTAAGAGAGTTTTTTTGATTTGTGGTAATCGCGCCTGGCAAGGTATCCAAAACATCCCCTTGGTGGACCATGTTATCTGGGATGTCTTAGTCTTATAGCTCCATCAGTGTCTCCGTTAAACAAAACTACTTTGGTTCGATCTCGTAGATTTCTTACTAAGCTGGAGAGCACCTGTAAGGACTCTGTAACGCTTTTGGGTAAAGTCGAAAATGCCTTAACAAGTATTTTTTGTCCCGGGTGTGCAGCAACTATTGCTAATGCTAGTTTGCAAAAGCTTGCTTGTTGGGTTGTGAAACAAGCCAATCTTACATCTGCAGTTTTAACAGACCTCATGAAAGATATAGATAGTAGTCGCAAGGTTATTTTGCAGAATCGTGCGGCTATTGATTTTTTATTATTAGCTCATGGGCATGGCTGTAATCATTTTGAAGGCATGTGTTGTTTTAATCTAACCGATCATTCACAATCTATTCAGAAGCGGTTGCAGCAAATGCAAGAACATGTAAATACGATTAAAGTGGAACAAGGTTTAGATGATTGGCTAGCTCAGTTGGGGTTTAGCGGCTGGCTGCGACCTTTACTGTATAGCCTAGCACAATTCTTAATCATGTTGTTGGTGTTACTGATTATTGGTTGTGGAATTTTTGCATGTGGGAAGGCTTTGTGTATGAGGTTCATTCTGAAAGCTTGGCTCGTTCAACAATCACACATGGAATTGGGACTCGGCACCAAATATGAAGAGATCACTGTGTTATATGAAGATATTGACTAACGTGCCCGTCTCAAAAACAAAAAGGGGGAATTGTTGTATGGATTTAGTTAGCATGAGTCGGGCTTCTCAGGTAGCATAAGTAGAGCTTCTCTGTAAGTGGAAAAATCCTAGGCCAGAGGGGAGGTTAGCCAGGGATAGCAGTGGGGGAAATGAAATCGCAATGTTAGCGACGTTAAGAACAAAAACCAGGATGTAAAACCTCAGTGTGAGAATGTTGAGGTTAGTGCTAAACGTAAGTAGCTGTTGTAACTTGTATTAAGCAACTTTGTGTAAAGCCCAATCAGAAGCTTGTTGGCAAGGCATGTTAACCAATCAGCGTATAATCAATGTGTGGATTTGTGTATAAAAGATCATGTCTGATGCTCAATAAATGGCAATCTCTTGATCACATTGATCGTCTCTGCATTGTCCATGACTCCCACATCAACAATCACTCAAACAGCGTCAGGGAAACATATAGGTATTAGTGTAAAAGGACAAAGTGCAAGGGAAGATAGTTGTGAACTGGCCATGTATCATTTTGAGGTGGAAAAAAGACTCCTCCTAACTGTTAAAGAAGGAAAGCTCAGGAACAGCCTCCTAGTGACAGTTTAGGGGTACAAAATATTTTTAACTGGGGTTGATCTGAACTGGCAAAATTGAAATTAGCCCTGAAAAACCTGTCGATGGGATAATGCTCTGAAAATCCCCTGCTCCCCTGCCATTTAGTTGCTTTCCCTGACAAAACTCTGGAGGTGTTGAGAAATGTCCCTTTCTGAATACCTCAGTGTTCCTTTTCTGAAAACATGTATTAAAAAATGCATGTCTTACTCTCCTGCACTTAAGCTCTGAGTAAATAGCATGAGAGTATATATGGAGAGAATATAAAATACAGCAGAGCTTGCCCTTTGGAAGAGTATCTGAAAAGACAGGGGTCACAGTCACCTTTCAAATGAAATAGGACTCTTCCAGGAAGCATGGGATATGATTTCATCTCCCTTTTCAGCTCCTTCCTTCCCTGTAAGCTGAAATCGGTTCAAGTCTCATACCTTCCTCTTTTCTAAATAAAGAAAAGCACTCAAGTGGCAAGGCAGGATTGGGATTAGAACACTTCCTGCTCTGCTCATTAAAATGAGATGTTGAATGGATGAAGATTCAAAGACAGAGGTGGCTAGAGAGCTAAGTTAGATGTGGGAAAACTGGAAGTATGCTCAGTGCTTGTGGTGCTCACTTATAGGCGGAATCTCAAGTTTCTTATTGTAGTGTTTTGTCCGAGGCTCGCTCCCTGGTAAATCTATCCAGTGATTGCTTAGTACAGCTTCAGCTTGAATCCTGCTCTATCTTCCTGGCAATGTGCTTTATAGAAATAAAAAGGTACACAACACAACCTCTCCTAGGTGTATTTGGAAAGTATGAGCTCCTCTTGGACTCTTTTGAGATGTTTTTAGATCTCATTGTTAGGATATGATGGTGCATGCAAGTAGCTGAAAAGGTTTTCTGCAGTCCTGAGTGAGGCACTTAATTTCTAGAGGATTTCAGACATGCTGTTCTCTGGGTTGGTTTTTGTTGTTTTTTTTTTCATAGCCCAGCTCTAGGGAGCTCCCCAGTGGGCAAGGTAGTTGTTGTGAATTCCCTTCTGAGCCACTCAATCTCCACCAGCAGTACAGCAAGAGCGTAATGGAAACTCTTGGATTTGTGGTGATGGAGAGGGATCACATCAGTTCATCTTGCAGCATTTAGAGGAAACCAGCAACTGTTACAGGGAGCTAAACCCTACCTGGACTTGTTCAGATTAATTTAAGACTTCCAGAGGACTGGAGCAAAGAAACATTTAGGGCACATCTCTGGCCTGCAATGCAGCACTCCACAGAAATACCTGAACTAGTGGAGAGGAAAATCATGTGCATGATGGCATTGCTACACTGACATAGAGAAGAGTCAGGGTTCGTCGACACCAGCACAGCACTTTGTTCATCATACAAGCATATTATGTATCAAATACAGGTCTCACACATGCTGTACTAATAAAAGGATGTGCGTGTTTGCAGCCAAGCTAGGCATTGTGGTGGGGCACTCCATTAAGCAGGCCTGTGAAGACAATTGCAAGTGATATTAATCAGTTGGTGCCAGTCACTCTGTCAGTGTCCTTCAGATTTTCTGGAGGTCTTCTGGTGCTTAAGGATGCCATTATAAGACCCCCAAAAGCCCGTCAGTACCTGATCAGTGCTTGGTTTTGATGGATCAGTTAGCTGAGTGCTATTGAAACCCTGTTGGGTGACACTGCTCTAGGCTTCAAATGGCATTCGGCTATTCTGTTACTTCTGTCTGTAAAATGCTGATAGAACATCAGCACAAAACTGTGTAAATTAATGATTTGAGATACTCAGAAAAAAAAAGCAGATCACCCTGTAACCTTCCCTTTTTCAGCCTGGTATTATAATTCATTTTCTTCACTATGACTGCAGGATTATTAACCAGTGCTTGCTTTTACAGGAAATACATATGATCGTACGTGCTAGCATGACACAGCCCTTTGAGCCTTCCGATGATCAGGCGAGGTGCTAAACCCCGCACCTCCCGCTGCCGGCAAGGACTGTGGGAGCTGGGCCGTGTCTCGCTGCCTCTCCGTGAACGGAACCGGCAGAGCCAGCTCTTTCTTATCTCAAGACTAACGGGTGCGTTTCAGTGTTACAACCCGGCTGCCAGACTCTTATTACCTAACCCAGCTTGGGCCCTGTTTAGCGGCCTACGGCTGTGGGTAGGGGGTGCGGAACAAGCTCTGCGGGACCGATTCGTTCTGGAGGCGGGACAAGCTGTAGCTCGGAGGGTCTGTGAGCCCGCGGGACCGCCCTGGGTGAAGCGGCTGAGAGCAGTGAGGCTACTGACGGGTCTGAGGGAAGCTGAGGCGGCTGAGGAGACTTGGGGGTAGGGGTGACTGAGGGGAACGAAGAAAGTGTGCGGCTGAGGAGGCAGGCGGGGGCCACGGCCGCTCTGACCGGGGAAGGAGCGGGGGGAGGCGGAGCTTCGTCTGCATCTGCTCTTGGATTAGCTGGGGCATCTTGGGCCACTGGGCGCGGGGCGAGCGGGAGCGCACGATTGGTTGCTGCGCCGGCCGCCGGCGCTGGGTGCGGCCGCCGCGTAAGGCGGAGGGACGGCTCCGTCGGTGGAGCCGCAGTCGCTCGGCAGTGGCCGGTGCTGCGGAAATCCGTTCGTGTTAGCTGCGCGCCCGCCGCTCCTCTCCCGCCGGGGACGATGTTGGACCGCGAGGGCGGCTGGAGCGTCTCGTTCGCCGGCTGCGGCTTCCTGGGTGTCTACCACATCGGCGCCGCCACCTGCCTGCAGGAGCGCGCGCCGCACGTCATCCGCGACGCCCGGCGCATCTACGGCGCCTCCGCCGGCGCGCTAGCCGGCGCTGTGCTCGTCGGAGGCGGCTCTATGGGTCAGCGGCGGTGTCCGGCTGTACCGCGGGATGGGGGGCGGGAGCGGAGGGAAATGGGGTGAGGCGGACGCGGTGGGCTGCGGGAGCCGGCAGGTGGGTCAGGCCGGGCCGGCGGCGGGGGCCGGCTATGGCACGGCCCCGGGAGCGCCTCGGTCCGCTGCCACTGGTGCTGCGGGCTATCGGGGACGGCCGCGGGGTCGGCGGGGCTTCCCTCCATTTCTTTTCCAGGTCCTTTCCAGTTCCTCTCTTCCTCTAGCTTTCTTGTTTTCTGTCTCCAGAGAGGAACCTGAAACATTAAATCTGAACCGGTTATCTGTCCCTGTAGGTGCTGGGCTGTCTGTTTTGATCCGTTCCCTTACGTCTCAATCTCTTACCTCTGTATAAAATACCCATAAATCATGAGTTTCCTTGAGGGCAGGAGAAGAGGCAGGTGGTAAAGTTTGCGTGTCTGCACCGCGGGTGGATATTTTGCAACCTCCCAGGCTTAATAAATGATCTTGACAGTGCCTCAGCTGATTTCAACACCTGCATAGTCAAATGGTTGAGTTTACTACCCCGGGTATCAGGACAGATATGTGTCTCTCTAAGGAGTGCCTGTGCCTCTTGGCTTTGAACAAGTTGTGGCTGGAGTTGCACATACCAGGGTTGATGACAACTGCTCTTACGTTAGTGTGAAGTGGAGGAATTAAAAGCTGTTAGGAAGTAGCTGGATCCTAGCAACTGTCAAAGCAAATGGACTAACCCTACCATCAGTTTGAAACAAAATACTTGCACTTTATTGGGAAATAATGCATCTGTTCTGTAGTCACTTTTACATATGAAGTTTCAGTTAGCTTTAACTTGCTGCTTCTTAAAGCTTTGCCTTTCTTGGGGTAAGGCTAAGATAGATAAGGTCAGGGCTTAGCTTAGCTTTAACACGCTTTTCCTTTTTAATCCATGTATTGCATAGCTCACTTTGGTATATGATTAGAAACAGTGGATTGGTTAAAATAACTGATTGTAATTGTGGTTTAAGTAATAGAATTGATCTGGTTTTGAATTTATACAGGATAAAAGATGTTAGTTTGCAGCTAAGCACAGTCCTTCTTGTGATAAGCGCTTATTTTCTCGCAGTAGGAAAAGTATACCTTGCTTTTACCCATTTAGGGTTCATGAGAACCTAAATGTACATTTATCTGGTGAATCAGATATGATAGACGTTAAAGCAAGCTTGATCCAAGTAAAATATCTACGTGTTCAGAATGGTGACTGGAATGCAGTTATGAAGTAGATGAAATCTGAAAATGGTTTTCCTTTTCAACCAAAGAAATCCATTGACTAAAAGCTTGCCTAGTTCATTACTCAACACTGACCAGTTTTGGTAATGGTACCCTTAACAGATTTAGAACTCGAAGATTTTGTAAATTCACATTTCATTTTATTTACAGAAGGAGAAGGAAAACAATGAGTACTTGCTTTGAATTTGGGGAGAGTTTGGGTTTTGCTTTTATATTTCTGAGGGAAAAATTCACTGACAAAACCAAACAGAACTTGTTGGTACATGTGAGAGGATAATGCTGTGACACACTTGTCCCTGCTGCTTAGCCACTGATCTCCACTGCATGTGATTAATTTTGTCAAAGCTTTAGCAATAAACTTGTGCTACTTGAACTTTTTAGTTTACTTGCTGTTAATGTACTAACATAATGCAATTGAGTTGTTATGAGCCTAACACCACCTTTTAAAACAAATCTTATTTAGCCACAATAACTATTTTTTGAACATACCCAATTTTAAGTTGTAAGTCATTGTAAATGATTTAAGAAGGAAGCCGCTTTAAATATTTGAAGTGTTCTTAAGCACAAATAATGTAAATTATTTACCTAAAAGCATGTATTATTAACAGCTTTTAAATTTTTTAGCATTTTAGTACCTGAGGCTTGCAGATTTCAGATTATTCCTTTGTCTTTCCCTTCTCATATGCCAATTGAGATTTTTTGCTTTTCTTTAATAGAATATCTGAAATCTGTGAATCCATGTAAATTCATCAAACTAAGAAAATATTCCCATGTTTATTGTCTATCTTTTTAGCTTTTTTCTCTTTTTTTTAGAGTTTGTGTGAAATCAGAGGATTGTAAATATGCTCTAAAGAAACACCATGTTGTAATAATTTATTTAATTAGTTCGTATTGTATGCCTCCCTTACATTGATGCACTTTAACATGCAGTATTTATTTTGCAGTTGTTGTTGTAAGTCACAGAATCCTAGAATAGTTTGGGGTGTGTTTTCACAGTTGCATTTCACTGTGGAAAGACAGAGCCAGACTCTTCTCTGAGATGGGTGATGGAAGGACAAGAGGCAGCAGGCACAAACGGGAGCATGGCAAATTCTGATTATGTATAAGGAAAAGAAAATTACCATAAGAGTGGTAAAATGCTGGAACAGGTGCCCTTAGAGGCTGTGGCATCTCCGTCCTTGGAGGTGTTCCAAGACTTGATTGAATTCAGCCCTGAGTTAGCGCACTTGCTGGTGCAAGCTGAGCATGTATGTGTATAGATGAACAGGGCTTTTGATTAAAATTGACATGCATCTTTCATCTTTGTGTTTCATGTTACCTGTTGGATAGACAAACTGAGAGTCTGTAGAATTTAAAGTTTGAGTAAATGTAAACATAGCCATTCAGTGGCACGGAGGAGTGTGCTTTTCCAGACTGAGGAAGAAGTACTCTTTACTGAATTTGGTGGAAGGTAGAGGGAGGAGCTTAGAGATAGCTGTTCTTTTGAGGATGAAGTACATTCCAGGCTATTCTAAACTGGAACTGTTAAGGTGCACTCCTTTTTTGGATCTTCTCTATGGAGGTCCTGGAGATCTGGTATTTCTGTGGTAATGCGGCCATCCATTCTAGCGGGGAGCTAAAGAGAGCAGGTTTGGGAGGGGCTCTAAATATGATGTCAGGTTTTACTCTGTGGGAAACTAACAATTAGTTAACCATTGAGAATAGAACTATAGAAAGACAACAAGAAACAGTTCACATTTAATAGAAGCATTAATTTCTTTAGCACTCTAGTGTTCCAAAACCTAAAATCCCAGTCTGTGAGCTTTAGCCCTCTGTCCCTTTCTGAGAAGATCCCATTTTGTAATACAGCAGCCTAAGAGGTAACTATTTTAGTCCTGTTGAGGAAGGAAGTGAGAAGGAAAATAAGTTGGAATAATTCAACAGACTTAAAGCAATAATGATCAGCTTTTAAAATTTTCAGTGATGGGTAGTTATTTTCTGAAAGGAAATTGAGAGTTCAGATTTAAACTGTTAAAGGTCATAAGTTTTGCTGCCTATGTAAAATGAGCTGATACTTCCTGATATTTTTTACAATGAGAGGTAAATAATCACAAGAAAAGGCTAGTAGAGGGTACCGGTTTACTTTGGTTTTCAGTGAAAACAGGCCTGCAGTGAAAATGAGTGAAGATGTTACCATGCTTTAAACTTAAGCTTGAGCTTCAATATGAAAGGATGCTAGTGAGAAAAACAGGATCAAGACCTGTTGGAGAAGTGAGAGCGTGTGTATTTGCTCATGTGTCCATGCACCCACTGCTCTTAGTCTGGTTTTTGTTGTTGTTTTTTTTTTTTTGTGCCTAGAAGATTTAACATTGCTAAATTAATCTATTAAAAAAAAACAGTAAAAAAGGAGGTGATAATTTGTATCTGAGTGCATGAAAATTGGAACTGATAAAACCGTCTATATGGCTGGTTTTGGACATACCTTCTTTACTTGCCAGAATGTGACTTGTGCCATTGTTTCAGTTGCATGTAAAATGTGTTTTACTAACATAAGCATGTATTTGACTGTGAACAGTGAGCTGTGTCGAAGTTGTTTGCTGTCTTCAGGAGTGAGAGGTGGGGTCAGGCTACTGGTATCAGTGGATTCATGGCCCAAGGCAAGGGTGAAATGAAAAAAAATTGTAGTGGTAAAAATGGAATGTGCCTGGTACCTCAGACTTTTTTGAGATACTCTTTTGAACGCAGACTCTTGGTTTGCTGGTTAAGAGTGACAAAGGTTTATGTGTTGCTATTTCAGGTGGAGGGAATGACATTGTAAAAGGATACTATTATTTTATTACTTTTTTTTTTTAATTAATCCAAACTCCAAGGCTTAAGCAGGATTATTTCCAGTGCAGTGCTCACATTCAACTTGATAAGTTGAATCCTCTCCATTCTAGAAGGAGTCTGTGTAAGTTAAAATGATGCAAGTTCTGAAAATATTTTTAGATGACCTTGCAGCATATCAGGCAGGTTAATAACCTGTTACTTTGACCTTCCTCTCCACCCCCTTTCCTTTACCAAGTTGACAACCTTATCAGGGAATTTCCTAAAAGTATGCCCTGGAGAAGCAGCATTAAAAATTCAAACAAATCATTGCAGGTGGATGAACTGCTGTTCTTGCTATGACTAGGTGTGTGGTTGTTAAAATGATTTTAGTGTCCTTCAGGAACAGTCATGTCTTCTGTGTGGGTTTTGTTTAGTTCCCAAATGCTGATTTAATTGGAGAAAAAAAATAATTTTGTCTTTTACATATTGGTAAGAATGCACCTGTTTAGGTGGAGACCTGTGTGCGAGGTGTTACAGATATCATCCACATTCCTTACCTTACTGCTTTAAAATCTTTCCTCCTGATGTTCCTTACCATAAATCTGTCTTTAATGTTCCCTTTATTGTGTTTGTATTTCAATGACGATAAATGCTGCTCTGAAACCTTAAGTTTGGTTAAAGTCCAGCAAGTGTTACTAGCTGTGACAAACCCCTGTGCTCTGCTTCTTCAGCAGACATACTGTGGACCTTAAATCTGTGCCTCATACACTCCAGGTTTTTATGGATGTTGTATATGGAATATTTCTGTGCATGCATGCTTACGGAAGATCAGTCGTCTTTGGTTTTTCTTACAGAATGTGTTTCTTGAATGAATAATTCCTAATGGAAACACTTTATTTTATACCTATAGTCTACATATCTATTACTTTTAAGTAACTTAGTGGCTGGGTCTTTACCAGGAGTTCTGTTTAAAAGTCTCAAGTGACTCTGTTCTTCCAAAACCTCTTAAACTCTGTTAGAAAGAGGGGACAGTTATTTTTGCTGTCAAAAAGTTCTTGAATTTTCATGCTAGCAGTCAGAGGGGAAAAGTTAAAGCTCTCGATGTGCTTTGTTACTGGAAATGTGGGGTTTGGTTTTTTGTAGTTTTTTTTTCTTTGACATACTTCCTGTTCTTAAACAAATGCATTTTATTTTTTTTTTCAGCTCAAGCTTGTGCAGATGTCTTGGCATTAGCCAAAGAAGCTAGAAAGCGAAATCTTGGTCCTCTTCATCCATCCTTTAATGTGATAAAGATAATAAGAGATGGACTGATGAGAAATCTTCCAGAAAACACCCACCAGTTGTCATCAGGCAGACTGTGTATTTCACTGACCAGAGTATCAGATGGTAAAAATGCATTGATATCTAATTTTAACTCTAAAGAAGAAGTTGTCCAGGTATGTTTATTTTTGCCAACTTTTAAAAGTTTTTGTAATTTTAACATCATCCATTGGATTTCCATTTTAAGCAGTTTAGGATATTGTGACTTTGCAGTGTATTAAAGGTGAATTCAAGTTTCATTACACTGTATTAATTTACTAGTTTTCCCAGCCAATGTATCTGCAAACTGTTGGAGTAAGTACAAGGGATCATTCATCGAAAGAATAAATGTCTTTGAAGTTCAGTGTATCTAATGAAAATACATTCTTCATGAATTAGATTTTTTTTTAAGGTAATTCTTACAAAAGCAGCAATCAAAAAGCAGTCAAAAATGGGACTTTAACATTCTTATTATCAGTTACAAAGCTAGCTTAATATGATTCCTGGATGTTGATAATTATGTCCCCAGTCAACTACTTTGATTACTCACATAATGTATAGCTTGAGTGATAGGTCACAAACTTGCCTTCCTGATTAGCATCTCCAGAAATAGTCTTTTAGTGAGTCTGGGCATTTTTTTTTTTAGATGGAGTTTGGTTACATTCTAAAAAAGAAATGTTGGAATACCCTCACCCTGTTTAAAATAATGCTTGATAATAGCCTTTCCTCTCTCCCCCACTTTTTTTTATTCAGATGTACTTGCTGGGGATTTTTTTGATGCTTGCTCAACTGTTTTTGCTAAACATCTAAAGAGAGAAAGATAAATTATAATTTCAATAATAGAGCAGTTACTGTTTAATTCATATGGTCTCATTTTCCTACAGGCTTTAATCTGTAGTTCCTTTGTCCCTATTTATTGTGGCCTAATTCCACCATCATTTAGAGGTGTGGTAAGTCTCTATTGTTAATATTTAAAAATAGTTCTAGCTATTTTAAAAACATTAAGAGACAATGTATATGGGGGTTTTTGTTATCCTACTGTAAAATAAATACCTTCATCATAGCTTCTAGTGCTGTAGGTGTGTGTTACAACTTTTCAAAACAAGCAAGGAAACACTAAATATGTGGATGATTTGTTATGTATATTTCTTCTCCACTCTGCAAAACACACAGACACCATGCTGTCCCTTCCTGCCCCCATCAACCTGTTGCTTTCTGATGCAGTAATTAAAAGAGGGTATTCTAAGGCAGCAAATATTTAACTTAAGGGTAAATATTTATTGAAGGAAGTGGTGCTTATTCACCTGCACAGATTTATAGGAAGGATCACTTATACTTGTGTGTTCGTTTAAAAAAAAATAAAATCTTGTAAGACAGTGTCCTGATTTTGGCTGGGATAGTGGTTAGACCATGACAGATAGTTTATTGTGTATCTTTGTGTTCTTGCTGGAGGTACATCTGCCTTTAAAACAGGATTAAAGTTCAGTTAGATATAAACAGAACTTTTAATGTCTCTGTCATTTGTATTTAGTGTAAAAAAGGTTGCTTTATAAAGGTGAAGTGTCAGCATGTTTGTTCTATTACATTACAGGAACTGTTGGTTACAAAACCTCTTAATACTTCATGGCTATACTGGGGTTTCTAAAATCCCACATTAAAGGGGCAACAACTGCAGAAAAGTTAGCGTAGTTTGTTGTAGGAGTTCAGTTTAACAAGTCTGGAAGCAGACATACATGTGTTACGGTGTTGTATTAACTTGCATTTGCTTTTCTTCCAACTTTGGTGTTTCTTATGCAAGGAAGTGGAAGAATATGGAAAGAAAATTCACAACATCTTCAAGAGTGGTTGATTAAAAACTGTTCTCAAGGCAATTTGGAAGTTCTGAAAGGTCAAGGATAGACATAAATGTATTTTCTTCTTCATGCTGAAATTTAAGCAAAAGTGATTAGAGCTGTATAGGGATTTTTCTTTATCTGTACTTTTAAACCTTGTATGTCTCCTTAAACTCTTCCAGATTAAAGGTGTTATGAAAACAGGACGTTGGACTCAATCCAAGGTTTAGGTGGATCCAGGCTAATCTGGCTATTCAGTTCTTGTCACCAGACAACAATGTTATTTTAAAAAGCTTAGTTCAGAGTACAAAAACATACAAGTGATGCTTTATTTGGTCCTATTTTGGGGGAAGGAAGGAATCATTTTTTCCTTTTGATATTTGCAGTTTTGATCTGATTTTAATATTTAGGAGGCATTTTGGATGTAACTTCATAAAAACACCACAGTGGAATATGTTTGCCCTGATTCCTGTAGTGTTTAAACACAGTAAAATGTCAAGTGTGTAAACTTTGTATATCTTGCTGTTTACTGGCTTGGTGCTTCAGGCATGTATACTTCAAAACAAAAAGATAGAAGGATAACTCTCAATGGTATATGTAACTACCAGTTGTGAAGCTTTTGGGTGTGGTGGGTTTTGTTTTGGGTGTTTTTTTTTAACCCTTTCAAATACAGCAGTGGTTTTTAGATTACAAAATTACTAGGGGGAAGAGATAGGCAGATACTCCAAGTAATTAAAGCCATTTACCTCTGTAGAACAGTGACTCAGTTGTATACTTACAGCTTTTAATAATTTCATGAGAAGGCTGTGTGCTGTGGCTTCTCCTTTGACAAACCTGTTGTGTTGTACTTGGAACTTCCACTAAGGACTTAATGATTGCACATGTACTTTAGTGATTGCATTACACACCTATAGGAAGTTTGTCGGTTTCAGCTTCCTGGTGGATCTAGAGTGTTCAGGAAACCTGCCGGGTAGGAATGGGCTGCTCTACAAGAGTATTTTGGATAAATTGCACTTAGCTGTCATCTTCCTAATTCCTGATTTGTTTCTCAGAATGGTGGGGGAGTGAGTTTCAAGGTAGATAAAACTGATAATCCAGGTTGCTCCTGCTCAAATCACCTATTCTGTAAATATTTACATTTTACAAGGACCTATGGGTCATGTCTGTTGCCTGGTTAGGAAGAAGGGAAATGCAGCCACTAAACCAGCAAAGCTTGTGCTCTTTTGCCACTGTCAGACCAAACTAGCTCTGACTTGTTTGACCCCACTGGAAACATGGATGTTGTGAGTAAATGGAGATGTTTTCAGCCACAGCAGCTGCTGCACTATAGATAGTTGCCCTGATACAGAACTCTTCAGTTCTTTGATCTTAAAATGTCTGAGATGGTGAGGCACTGGCACTACAGAAGTGGGCAGTCCAGCATGAAGGAGACAAGCGTAATCTGGAACAGTTTCTAAACTTGCACTCAAAGCAGAATAGATATCCATGAATGTTGGCAAGGTTTCCGAAGCATTGTCTGCCTTTTACATGTAGTTTCTTTATGTCCAAATACGCTTTTATATCAAATTCTAATTGCTGAGAGTAAGTTACTCTTCTTCTGACTGAATGGTTTAGTATCACAGAACTTTATCTTTGAAAGGTAGAGCTATTATTTTACTTGTTTTTTTTCTGAAGTACTGCCGTGTTAGCTCTTCAGTTGGTGCTGCTCTCATGTGAGGAAAAGGAGACACTTCCACTATTTTTTCTCTGCATGTTATATAGGATTATGATCTTTGAAATGGACTTCCTCTTTCTGAAACATGCAGAAATATCCCAAATAGAGTATTCTGGGGCTATCTTTGGAACTATAGATAGCAATGTGTTATAATTGGCATTAGAGGCAGGTTACTTACTGTTGCAGTCTTAATTCTTGCATGGGAAATATGCTAGTTAGAAATTTTCAGCCTTTGAGACTTCTTATTTCTGTTAATTTTTGTAGCGCTATGTGGATGGAGGAATCAGTGACAACTTACCTCAATATGAATCAAAGAATACCATCACAGTTTCGCCTTTTGCTGGGGAGTGTGATATCTGTCCAAAGGGGAATTCTGCCAGCTTCCATGAAATGAATGTGACCAACACCAGCATTCAGTTCAGTTTGGGGAACCTTTATCGTTTAACACAAGCGCTCTTTCCACCAGAACCTAAGGTAAGTCACTGCCTTCATGTCATCACTAAAGCATCTTTCCATATAAAAGCCTTGCTTTTGCAGAAAGCAGCAGTATTCTTAGCATTTCATTTAGTCATATAAACTTTTTTGGTGACATTTCTTGTTCCTATTTTTTTTATCCATTCTCCTTATTTTTAGTCTCACTTGGACTGCAAATGCATGTCCTGCTATTGGCTTTCAGCACGTGATTCAATCATGATATCAACGTTGGTAAATTAGTACCTGTTAGTTTGTGGTCCTTTCATGTTTACCTGCTAACCAGGCGCTTCAGAACTTAGAAGTTCTAAAGCTTTGTGGTTTTGTGAAGTTCTCAATCAGTACTTCACACAGGCAAGTTGCCATTAAACTTGGCTAAGCGCTGTTAATTGGAGATCTGATGAGGGAAATGCTTGTTAATTGCTGTTGTGGAAGCTGAAAATGAAGAAAGCAGACCTTGTGAATTGGATTGGGATATACTGCAGTGGAGAATTAACGTTCCTGACTGCTACGGATGTTTGGGTTTATTTTAATTGAGGGCTTTTGACCACTTGGAGAAAAGTATTAAATTCAACTTGTGTAGGTTTTAATTCTCTTTTTATGTTTATTTTCTTCTGTCTAGGAGTACTGTGTAGGTGAGCTGATGTTGCATCTTGTGAAAGATGTTTTCATGTGGAAGATTAAGTCTGAGTTTGAGCATGAGAATTGCAGAGATGACTTTCCATAGTCTTGGAAAGTGGGAAGCAGGGGCATTGGCATACTCCAAGCCGCCCTGTTTCACTGTTGCTTGCATCTGCTGAAAAGCTAGTCAATGAAACAGAAGGAGAGGAAATCTTGCAAACTGTCTGAATGCTATCCTTTTAGGTGAACAATTCAGCGTGTCTGTAACAGCTGAAAAATAAGTTCATGTATGCATGATCCTGTATGCATTACTACAATATGCATAGATATATTAACCGGGATCTGTTGAATTACAGCAATTGTTCACGTAATATTTCTTAAAAGAATAGAGCGTGAATGGAAGTGGCTTTTCATTCTGCAGACTGTTGATCTTAAGTTGCCTCTCCTTTTATTTGTCTGATTCATTTACCCTATGCTTGCAGGTACTAGGAGAGATCTGTGAGCAAGGATATTCAGATGCTCTTAAATTCTTGAAAGAGAATGGTATGTTACACTTGTGGATTATTACTGATGATGTGGTCTTAACCTGAGTTTACAAATAAAAATAAAAGGGTGGGAGGGGTTTATGTAGCTAAGAATGGGCTAGCTCTGAGGTTTTCGAAGGGATCATGGTTATTTCTTGTAGAAATCACACAGTTGTCACAGCTATTCACTTGAGGTAAGCTGTGCTGATGCACAGAAATTGAATTTGTGTGCAGTGAATATTAAGATATTGTTAAGTGAAATTACCAAAGATTTCCAATTCTAGGGAAGCCGTCATTTTTTTCTGTGTTAGTCATGAAGGATAGGAATAAGCTATTGTTTCCCACTCCTGTGAAACCTGTATTGTTGTAATACCTCCTGTCTGCTATCAGCCAAGTGAATTTCTAGGTAAAGCCTAGCCAGTCTAGAACTCTATAACAATATAAACTCAATCACAGACAAATTCTTATTTGTATCATGAAAGACTTTAGACGAAGACCACTTGTAATGCGACAGTTGTTGGGACACAGATAAGTCTGGGAAGAAGACTTGAAGGTTGCTATGTTCCACTCTTAGAATTCTAGTGACGTATTTTATATTAATTTGTTAATGGTCTGCACACTTTGAGACAAACAAGTTAAAGACAGTAACTTGATATTGGCATGAAGTTAACCATGTGTTAAATACACCTAATCCCTGTAGTCTGGCTGGAGAAGCAAATGTGTACTAGATCAGTTTCGAGGAATGAAAATGTAAGTATGATGTTTGCACTATTGCAGGTAGTACCAGCTACAGTACCGTAATGCAGTCAGATTGATGTGCTCACTGCTTATACTCTGTTATAACTAAACATTAAATATTCAAGTTTCTTGGAGTAATTTTCTTAAAGAATGTCACAGTTCTGCTTAAGAGTTTGATTTTCAAGTAATAATATTAAATATTAATGAGAATGTCCTGTTTTATACCTTTTACTAGGTGATTCAAAGCACAAGCTATACAAAGAGCATATAATTTGTGTTTGTCTGTGCTAAGATGGGTTTTGTTGCTGTACTGCACCCATAAGTTTCCTGCACATATGTTTCCATGTGACACTAATAATTGAGATTCCTTGCAGATTCCTTCTCCCCCATTCCTCTGTGTATTGCACTACTGTCCTCCTTTTCACACTACTGATCCTGTGATCACCTTTGTTCTTATTCTGCTGCAGGTTTGTCTTGCTTCAGGCTTAGTCAGTGATAACCATAACCTTTTCAAACTCATTCATTATACATCTCTTTTCTTGTTATTTCAACAGTAGAAGTTAATTTCCCCCCTAATCTGTAGCATTTCAGATAACTTTTTTATTTTTTCCCTAAATTCTTTGTATATTCTTTTGACATTTGCTTTTTAGGGATAGTTGTAAGTAGGATACAGATTCTGTTGTATGTAGGTATGCATCCCAATAAAATTTGGTAGCCTTTGAGTCTAAAGAACTTCATAATGACTTTCTGGAAACCAAAGATAAATACCCTTCTGTGTTTTTCATTTGTGCTCATTATCTAGTGCTTGTTTCTAAGGAAATTACCAGTTCTATTTCCTAACTGGCATCAGTTTTGTAAGGCAACCAGTGTTGATTTAGATCTGTACTTTGGATATATCTTGTATCCTACTCAGTTTCCTTCTCCACCCTGTTTTAGCAATGCCTTGAAGTACTCGTGTGATACCTGCCACGTCAAATTTCTCAAACGTCTAATGTGTTTTAGGTGTGTTCTTTCCAAGAAATATTAAATCAGTTTTCCTCCTCTCATTTTGAATTATTTGTTTTCTTGCTGGAAAACAACTCCATAAATGACTGTATATTTCCAGTGCTGTTACAGTTAATTGTTCACTTTCTCGTTTCTTTAGAACCTGTTTGAAAGTAAGACCTAAACATACAGAAAGATATGCATCAGAGTGATCAAACATTTGCGGGATTATAACAGCAAGTGTATTTGATGTTGGGTAGATTATGTTCCCTTGGGGTAGGCCTTTGTACAGATACGCAGACTTCAGGTACTGTACAGGTACTCTGAAGACCTGCAGATCAAGCCTAAGTGGAAGCCCTTGACTCTTTCAGGTATTCTGAATGACTCAATTTATATCCACTTGTCCTTCACGAAAAGAAGTCCTCATGAGGCTGCGCAACACAACCACACAAAGAAAAAAGTACTGACAGAAAATAATGGAGTAGAAACTTTGAAAATGGAGGCACTCAGTGACCAGCTGAAGCAAAATCCTTGGCCTTTGGAGAAGAGCATATTTGAAAGTCTACCTCCTAGACTTCGTAAAGGTGCATGCTTGAGAGTGTTTCCTGCAACTATGAATGGCAAATTTTGATTTATTTTTTCCCCTGCTTTCTCTTACAATTTTCCTAAGATGCTTTAATTTAATCTTGTAATTGTCTGTGATATTAGACTAGCTCGATCAAAAAAAAAAGTTATTAAATGTGAACATGTACATTTTGATTTAGATTGAAGCAGGAGAAGGAGCTGCTTTCAGCACTGCAGAGTTGTGAACTGAATTCTCATTTGGTTTTGAATAAACTTTGTATGTGCACAGTATTTTTGTAAGCGTATATTTCACACCAAAGTTGAACATCAAATCCAAATGCTAGTTGTCCCCATCTCATTTTTAAAACAGACTTCTGTAGATTTCCAGTTCTCTGTTTTTCCTGTCTTTTTAATAAGCTGTTAATAGATTGAAACCACATCTGATATTTCTTTAATCTATAACTTTCACCTGCATTTTTTTTGTGGATGCTGATTGGTATTTACAAGATCTGAAACTTGTCAGCATAGTGGCCCAGGAGAATAAAATTTGGAGTGAATTTCTTACAACTGTGTGTAACAACTGGAATATGCACAACTCTGGGATTTAAGCAAAGTCCTTAGAGTTATTGAGTCTCTAAAAAGACAGGAATGCTAACTAAAACACATAAGTATTTTTGGAGAAGTGAACTTCACATCCTTTTACATCCTCTTATTATAGATTAATTCTTAGACTTACTGTTTAAAAGTTCTGGGTAATGCCTTTTATCCCTGTGGTATGAGTCTGTGTTTTTCATATTTTAAAATAGCATAGGGAAGGTTTAAGGAGATTAATTCTTCCATTTTCTGTCTGAGCCCTATTCAATAACACTTTATAATTTTGACTGAAGATTGCCAAACTTTGAATTATTTAAACTCTTTTCAAATAGTCTAACATCTTTTTCAAAAATAATTATTATTAAGCACTGCAGGAAGCTTGTAAAGAACAGAATGGATTCTACGCTCAGTTCTCTAAGCTCTTCCCTATGCGAGTGATATCCTATCTGATGCTACCATATACACTACCAGTGGAGTCGGCTTACTCCATTGCTGTACGGTAAGGAACCATTTTAGAATTATTATACTTTTGGAAATTTACTCATTGAAAGTTTATTCAGTGTTATAGGCATTCTGGTACTCTAAAATTCCAAGTGGTAACTGTCCAAAGGCTCTTACTTCTACCTACATGATGCATCCTCTGAAAGTCTGTATAGTCTAAGGCTAGACAAATAAACAAATTACTCTTATTACTAGTAGCTGTATTGTAATTGTTCAAAAGAAGCACCCTTATTTGTATTTTCAGAAGCACAGTTTTATTACTGTTAGTATATTCTGCAGTGGTGTTTGAACTCTATCCAGATAGTTCATGTGCTTCAGCTTCTTTCTAAAGTCAGGAATGAAATTCAGTGTTTATTCACAATATAAATTTTCTTATCAGGTTTGTTTGGTTGACTGAAAGTTGTGCTCTTGAAACAGACTTAATTTTATGTCTTTCGATTCTCATAAATGAGAAATTACAGTAAATGAGGGCACCATGAATCCCAAGCTTTGTGCTTGCTAAAGAGAATTCCAGTCCTTGAGCAGTAGATGTCATTACTGTCTTTAGAAAATGCTAAAAAAATCAAATGCTCTGTAAATGGAGCCACGTAGAATTCCAGTTGGTTGGTTGGTTGGTTTGTTTGTTTGTTTGTTTTTTGGTAGTTTTTTTTTTTTTTTCTGTTAATGTGCCATTTCTGTGCCATTTTGTGGTGGATGGGAGGAAGCAAGTTTCAACAGAGTTTTTATGTGGGTTTTTTCCTTTTTTCCTCTCTGGTGTAAGTGACTTCAGTTAATAACTTTTTTCTTTATGGAAAAAAAAATACATTTGTGACATAGTTCTGTTTCTGCCTTCTGTTTGTTCTTCTATTGTTTTTTTGTTCTTCCTTCCTCATCCACCTAACTTTAAACTGACCAAAAAATTCCCACTGAGGAGAAAGAGGTCTCAGAGAGAGGAGTATTTTGCAGGCTTCCTAAATGTTGGTCACAGGGTGTGGAATGCACATATACTGCTCAGCCACTCAGCAGATCAGAGATTAATGGTCTGTGCTGCCCCTTTTAGCTTGTAGAGAAGATTGGACTAGGTGGGAATTAACAGGAGGTTGGGAGGACCTGGAGACCTTGGTGGGGGGTTAGCTTGGGGAAATAAAAGCTGTGGGGGTGTTTTTTGAGGTTGTATGTAAAAATACAATGTGAATTAGATCTACTGCTTATATAACAACTTGGTTTTGATTGTAGATTAGTAAACTGGTTTCCTGACATGCCTGCTGATATTCGATGGATGCAAGAACAGCTTTGTCAGATTGCTGCTACAGTTTATTCCCAGGCTAAAAGCAAGCTGTTCTGTATATCCAGGTAAAGTGGAGTGCTGCTGCATGCAAATGATGCATTTTTATAACTGCTTTCTCTTATTAGAGCTTCAACAAGTTTCTCTCTTAAAACAGGGTTTAATAATTTTCTCAAAGGTATTACAGAACAGTTCTCTCTGCTTCTCATCCTTAGCATTGTTTCTGAAGTATATTTTTCTGGTGCTTCTTGTTTATAACTGATGAATGACTGCTACATGCTGTAGATGAAGAACTGCTTGCCTATTGGTAGGCTTATGGGTTTTGGGGATGGAGATGGGTTATAGAGCAGGCATTGGACTGAGAACAGAGACCTTGTTTCTTCTGCTCCACAGTACCTGGAGCAATCAGAAAGAAAAGAAGAAGAAAAGGTAGCCCAAGATGTTCTAAATCAGCTGTAGCGTGTAGGAACTGGAAACCATTGGGAGAAAGACTATGTTCTTAGGAGTCTGGACAGGAAAGATTGTAAGTTAAAAAGTAGATTAATACGAAGGATAGTCTTGTAAGATAGCTGGGAAGAATTAAAATAAGACATGTGGAAAACTTTTAGGAACCTCTATTTCTGTGGAAGAGGAACTTCCACTTGAACCTAGTTGTAAGTGGGTTCATTATGCTTCTCTTGCTATTCTGGTCTGAGATTTAGCCTTTTAGACTTTTTACTTCTGTGAAGTTTTGTAGCACTATGTGAATGGAGGAATCAGTGACAACTCACTTCAGTATGAATCTAAGAATATCATTACAGTTTTGCTCTTTCATGGGGAGTGTAGCATTTCCCCAAGGAGTTCCGCAGACTTTCACACATTGAATGTCAGATACTCAGCTTAGATTTTCCTGCTATAAATGGACTTGTTGCTGGAACACAATTACACAGCTGTGTCAGAGCAGTGCTCTGTATAGCAAGTAGAGAAACGTAAACTCTCTTTGAGGTCCAAATGCTTATAAATATGAAGTCTCCTAAGATTTGGTCTGAGAACGATATGAGCTACTCTGTAAATCCTGCTTTACTGTAATTTTTCTTATGATTGTCTCAATGCCTGCAGTTGCTAGGAAGGAGGTAGAAGGGGAAGAGAAATTAGCCTGAGAAGCTATTGAACATAATTCTTAAATTCTTCATAAAAGCTTCCAAGAGATAGCTGTAGCACTGGAGACTCATAAATGCAGCAGTTACTTCAGTTAAAGCATTGCCATGTTTTACATCCAGCACGTTCTTAAATTACGATGAAAAATACATTTTTATTTGAGCCAGGAGTCCTTGAGCTTTTGTTTTCCTGTTTTTAGTAACAAAGATGAGGAGGAAGATCGAAGATGCTCTTTCTACCCCTGGCAATGCTATACAGTGAACCATTAGAAGTGCAGGATTGTTATGTCTGAGAACTGCTTGATCCTACTTCCTTATAAAAAGCTTTGCCAGGTTCTGGATGGGCATTCTGAAAGATCCAATTGATAAGCTTCATCCCTTAGAAGTACAGAGTAGTCAAACTTACTGTTAAAGGCTCTGGCTTAATGGAAAATTAATGAGGATGAAGCTTGGGTCTCCTTCCCCCTTTGGAAGTATTAGATGCTGGCTTTCATATTAGGTTTCTTTTTATAATATTCAGTTTTATCCAGAATTCAGGAGCATTTAATTCCTGTGTACAAATAGCCTCTCTTCTCCCTTTCTGAAATCCATTAAAGCCTTTCCGTGTATAACACTAGTTGACTTTTGAGGCCATCTCTCTGAGCAAAAATGTAATCCTTGATACATATATTTGCTATCATCTGACTGTCACCTCTTCATTTATTTGATACCACATGTAATCCAGTGTCTACTTTTTTCTTTCTCAATGATATTTCTGCTTTCTTTCCACAAGAAATATGTGTATAGTCATCTTCCTGCTTTTACCTTTATAGAACAGCTTCTTGATGTTGCTCATACTCCAGTCTTACCAACTGTGAGGCTCTACATCTGAAACAGGCATTTGGAAGGCACAGCATCACAAGACTGTGCTATATCTAACCTCCAAGAGGGGTCATTTGGTCATTGAGTCATGATGAACCAGGAACATTGTTTCTCTTGTGGAAAGAGAAGCTCTTGGGCTTAAACAGAACTTGGTGGTCGCTGCTCTTCCTGTGTGCTTTTATGGTATCTTCAAAGGGGATCAGCTGCCACTAAACTGTTTACACTCTCAAACTTCAAAGTTTTCTAAGCCTTCTTTACTAGATTTTCTCTTTGGATAGAGAGGTCCCAAGACTCTGTTTGTAGAATCCTACACTGTATTCTACAGGTGGGCTCTTTGTGTACTTACACTTTCAGCATCCACCAAGAACTTACTGCTGCTTTTGAAGAAAGTAACCTCTACACAACTTTTTTTTCAAGCTTTTCCCCTTATGTCATCAGCTCTAGCTTCTGTTTTGGAATCAGACTTAAATCTCATGAAAATTTGAGGTGTTTATGGTTTGAAAATCCTTTTAGGAAACTAAACCTGGTGGATGGTATCTTCTAGTGCACCTAAACTCAGGTATGGAAACTGGTGTTGAAGTGTGTGTTGCAAGTTGGGGAGGGGGGCGGTGCATGAGAGGGGGCATTGCAGGTTGTTACAGGAAGGTTTAAAAAAAAAAATGGTTTGTTCTTGGTGACAACTTCAGTTTCTTGTTTTCAAATTGAAAAAAATTACTTGGTGATTCAGGTGCTGGTGTACAGCGTAGAAAATTTCTGTTCCAGGTGGGTGATAATTGGCTAATTGTAAAGTTGAATGCAGAGATGGCGCTTGAGAAGCTGAACAACTGTATTTGCTTCTCAACTTGTAAATGTTGAGACTATTCTTGTTAATTTTCAGTTAGTGCTGTGATTGGTAAATCAGCAAATATTCCAAGTGGGTAGCTGGGGGGGGGGGTGGGGGGTGTGATAGGACTAATGCACAAACTGGGTCTACCCTTCAGAACAGTGTGGCTTCGAATGTAAGTATTTTATTCTTACTTCTGAGGACAACACATAGAGTTCCGCCTATGATGGTTTCAAGATCCTTTTCCTGTTATCCCATACCCTAACGCGTTAAATTGCATTTAAAATTAACCATTTTCCTCTAGCCTTCTTCCTTATACGAAGATTCCCTGTAAGACATCTGAACAGTAATAAAAATAGTAACTGAAACACTAATTCTTATTTTTTTTTTTTTTAAACAGGAAAGACAAATACACATCCCTAAGAAAATGTCAAACTGTTCCATCTACTATGGAATTTCATTCTTCATACTGCCACCTTAAAATGCCTCGCTCTTCTGCGGACCTTGAAACCTGGCTCTGGGAATCTTCAAGCTTCATGCACTCAGTTATGAAAAATGCTTCTGTTAATGTACAGGAGCATTCAGAAATAAACTCCTATCCTGGTTTTCCCCCAAATCCTGATGAGTCTGGGTTGGAAATAGATTTTGACTCTTCCTCAGAGTCAAGTTTCCAAACTGCTCCAGAGTATTAATTTGGAAGTAGCTTCCAGAGTTTCCAAAATTCCAATTTGGCAGAGAAATTTATTTCCTAAAGAACTAAAGATCACTTTGATTATTGCCAGTAAGTCTTGTAAAATTTGTTTACAGCTTCCTGACAAATCTGTCTTGAGAATCCTATTGTTGTAAGGATTATAAAAACAGTGGCTGCTATACTAAGAAACAGACTACAGTTCTGTCAAAGCACCAGCTCAATCAACTGTAGAAAACATGTAGTAAACAGTGTTTCTCTGGAAATAAGTTATTTTAAAATCTACTTTCAGAATAAAAATGGAAATTCTGTAAACAGATTTAGACACACAGGCACGGATAACAAAACCTTTTTAAAAATATAATTCTTAACAATAGTATGTGTTAGGATTAATTTTATAGCACTTAAATAAAATTTGACTTTTACTACATAAAGGGAAATACACAAAGGAGCTTTTTAGTGGCCTCCAGTGTCCATTTGCCTTATGTTTAAACATACTGTTGTGTTTACTGAAAAAATTGTCTGCATGAGGTACTGTAGGAACAGTAATATTCTAGGTTACTGTATGTATTCTGTAGTTCACATTACTTCTCCTCTGTGGCTCTTTCCCTCTTCAAATACTTCAAGGGAAAAAGACATAGGAAATGGGATGCATTCCCCTGAAGTGTAAATAGGTATAGTTTCAGTGATTTTTTTTTTTTTTGAATATAAGAACTTAATACTTGACCAAGTATTGAAAAGTAGGTAAAATAGTGACTGATTAGTAGTAAACAGTAATCTGAGAAGGGTGTTAAACTTCACAGAAGATGTTAATCACCTTATAGCAAATGGGGAATGATGTTTAGTTCTCATCTCTTAATTGCTGCCCAATCATTCCCAATTTATTCCTCTTCTCCCCCGCCCCCATTGACTTGTGGTTTGTTGTTTTTTTTTCTTCCCTTCCCTTCTTCCACTTTCCTCTTGCTAAAGGAAGGAAGAAAAAAAGTGTCCCTGCTGTCTCAGTGAGGTATGATAGCCCAGTGAAAGTTTTCCAAGACCAGTTAGAGGAAGCAAATGTGTAAGACTTGGTGGGAGTATCAGTATCCAGGGAGCTGTGCAAAGGTGTCAGATAATGGGCTGAAAGTCAGCCAGATCTGTATTTAGTTGATGAGCATTTTACACACTTTGCACTACAAAGGTTCTGCATGATTTTAATAAAGAAGACACATTAGTGCATGAATAATACATCAGGAGAAGTAAATAACTGCTAAGATGAACCACTCTCTTCATGTTTTGTTACCATGGACAGTTTTTTTCAAGTAGAAAGAATCAACAATGGGTTTGAAATGGAGTTTGTGTAGGTGTTTGGGGGTAGGCTTGTGACATTCGGAACCTTCTCATTGAAGAACGTGAACTGCGTGCAAGCTGGGTGCAGCCCAGGGAAGAGACTATAGCTGCTTGCTGGAAGTAGCTTGTACAAGAAGTGGCAACGGTGTTGAGACACTCAGGAGAGGGAACTTTGGAGTTCTGAGCTTTGGGATCCAGAACTCTTGTCAAATAGCAAAATGTAGCATTTTTTAGTTGGACCAGCCTTTAAGCAGTTTCCGAGTTGTGATTTCCTTAAGCTTGAAGTGCTAAATTTTGCAACATTGTGATTGATTTTAGAATGGTGGGGGAGAGGGGAGAAAGTGTCAAGCTGTCTGTTTCCCTACCACAGAAGGGTGGTATCTTTACTTCAGCTCTTTTGTTAATTTCTTCTGTGTGCGTTTATCTGTCTTTTCAGAAATTTGCAAGAAAAGTTTGAAATATTACTCTAACTACAAGTTCTATTTTATATTGTCTTCATTTGTAACTTTAAAACTTTCTATAATTTAATTTTATGATGTTCTGCAAAATGTTGGTTTTACCAGTATGTGTTAGAATTCAGGCAGGAATGCCGAGTTTTCCTTCTTTTGTGTGTTGGAAGAGTTCTATTACCTACATTTAAATCAACTGTAACCACTTGTCCTGCTGCATACAGCTCCAGTTTTGTCTCCTTTTACTAAAATAAAAAGACAATCTCTTCTATTACCGTGTTCTCTGAGCTTTCCTGCCTACAGGTGCGTTTATTTCACTGAAGTGTTCTGAGATCGTTTAGAGCAGTGACTGAGGTTACTGCGCTGCTACAGTACTTGCTGCCGCGTCAGTTCACGTCGTGTCGCCACTCAGACCCCCCTCCGGCAGACAGCAGCACCCGCTGCAGCTGTATAGGCCTGCACCCGAACCCTGACGCGGATTTGCCACTGTCACTTTCCCACCTCCCTCCGGTCCCCGCCTTCCGGCCGCAAGTGTCCCGGCAGCACTGCCTCCGCCCCGCCTCTTCCCGCCCCTCGGTCCAATGGGAGCCGGGGCGGGGCTCCGTGTCATGGCCGCCCCCGTGCTGCGGCCTTCATAGCCCGCGGTGCCTGGCGTCCAGCTTCTCTGTCTTCGCCCACCGCCTCCCCTTGGCCACCATGGGCACCGTGCATGCACGGGTAAGCGGCGCGCAGGGGACGGGCCCGCAGCGGTACGGTCCAGCGGCCGCGGGTCGTGCTCTCCGCTCCTCGACCTTCGGGCCTGGCCCGGCGGGGGCAAGCGCCAGCCGCCCTTCTCCGCCGGGTGCAGCTCGGGTCGGGGATGGGACTGGCAGCAGGGTCTGGCCACTCTGTTGGGCCGTGCGTCAGGGCCTCCGTGCGCCAGGGCCTCCGTGCTTCAGGCCCGCGCGGCGGCACCCTGGGCTCCCTGCCCAGCGCCTCCGGGGGCAGCCGGGCCCGTGACTGCCGGATGCGGGGAGGAGATAGGGAAAGGGGTACGAGAAGGGAGAGGGTCCCTGTTGCTGCCACCGTCCCGGTGCTCGGAAGCGCCTTTCCTTCCCTCCCCGGGTCTTTCCTTCCTCCCTGGCGGCGGTCGGGATTGACCTTGCCGCCGGGGCTGGCAAGAGCAAGGCTGCGTAAATGAAAGTATTAAAAGGAGCAGCCCCCCAAAAACAAACTACGAAGGAGAAACTGCCCTACACGTGTAGCCCGTACGGTGGGAGGTGGGAGGTTTGCACTTCCCTGGTAAACTGCAGCATTCCTTACAGGGACATGCTATGTTTCACATCCAGAGCAGTTGGAGGCCTTCATGAACAGATACTTAAATGTCTATATAGCATTACTTAAAAAAAGGAATATAAATATTTAAGTGTTTGTTGTGGTCAAACAAGAAGTAGTGGCTATAATGGTAACAGGAAAAAGTCTCTCTTAGTTGTCAGAAAATAATTTCAAATACAGATACATAGGTTCTGAAATACTTCAGGATGGCAATGAACAGCCCATGCCTCAAGGCTTCCTTAGAGAAGCATCTCAGGACGTTCTAGGTAAGCAGTCCACTCCTGAGCAGTCTGCTGTATGGAAAGGTGTAAGAGCTGTGTGAGACAGGTTATGAGAAAGTCAAGCTGTAAGGATACCAGTGAAAAGGCTGGTGGTGCTGTACACTGTAAAGCAGAAGAATCACAGAGCAAATGTCAAGTCCTTGTGAATTTGACTTAAACTATTTTCCCCTTAAAGCAACCACAGGGCAAAAACTGTTGTGGATAATTCAGGTGTGATTAATGAGTGACTGACTTATTTGGGGACTAAGAATAGACTGGATGATTCCTCAAGATCCCATCTAGAATAACACCTCTTCAAAAGCCTTTTGAAAACCAGCAGGTTTCTCTGTAGTGTTTAATTAGACTGAGGAACAGCTGCTGGCAGCCGTTAGGGCTCCATAGTATCTTATTACCAAACCTAATTTAATTTCTGTTTCAGTTTTTTTTTTCCTTGTATTCTTGGTTTTTGTATCCATCTGTAGTATAAACTGATACACAATATTGTGTGGATGTGGAGTGTCTCATGCTTGCCTGAAAATTGCTGGGAGTGAGAGAGGATTCTGTCTTCATTTAGGTGGATTCTGATACGTAACAGCCATTTCCTATTCCAGCAAAATAGCTATCCTTAAATAATGCAGCAAATACTGTATTAGTGACTTAAGACTAAAAGTAGATTTACTGAGTTATCCTGTCCTGACCTCTGCTTTTGCAGGTAACCCGCTATCTGTCATGCTTAAATCTGTTATCTTCTGATAAAGTGTTATTTTAGGACTCCTTAAGGTATAGGAAATGAAGTCCCACTGTGCTGGAAAACATTTTAATTAAACTTTTCACCTCTGATCCATAAGGCCTGAAGTTCTTAAGTTCTTACGCATTACTTAGAAGGTTACTTTTAAAAGAAGTATTAAAATGTAGATTTGTAGAAATACATTAAAAAGTAACAAAATGCAGACACCCTTTTTAAAAAATTGTTCACACTTCTCTCCCTCTCAAAAACCCAAAATAAGTAGTAACATTTTTTTTTTTTAGATTTTTTTATTTTAAAGAGGTAGAATTCATCTTTAGAACAGGAAGCATGTCTTAATAATAAGGGGTGTTTTTTGGAAGAGTGCAGAGTACTTTAGAGAAATGATTCAACATGGAAGCTATTCACAACTTTCATTAAAAGATGCAGAAAACAGGTAGGTAACAAGTGTGCTGGTAATTCCCCTCATTTTAGTTCTTCCCTTTTGCTTTTTTCCCCTTAGAATCTGATGAGCACAGTGTCAAGAACTGTATTTTTTTTCCTTTTTAGAAAGCATAATTCACAAATCGGTGTGCCATATTAAATGCAGTTTTATGCTTTCAGAGTTTGGAGCCTCTTCCAATGGGTGGCCCAGACTTTGGTGCTTTGGGAGAGGAAGCTGAACTGGTTGAAGTTGAACCTGAGCCCAAGCAGGAAATTCTTGAAAACAAAGATGTAAGTACATGAAAAACATCTGGATTTTTTTCTCTTAAAATAACTGTCATGGCACCTTGCTTGTTTTTCCCAAGTAAACTTTCTAAGCTTTGGGTTTGGATGTGAAAGAACTAAATGTAGTACTGTGAGTTGAATCTGGTGTTGTCTAGTTCTTGTGTTTTTTAACCCACCACAAGAGTTACTAAGTTCAGCTCTGAGCTAATAGACCTGTCTCCAGATGCTGCTCTCCCTTCTCTCGTAAGACATCACTGCTTGGGGGAAAACCAAGCAACTGTCCTTAATCTGCTAGAGTGCAGTATTAGCCAAGTTAGGGTAAAACACCACCATGTGAATTATGTTGCTAAGCAAAACAGTAACTTCAGCAGAGGATGGTAACATTTGGGTTTTTTAAACATTTCACTTGTAAGATCATGTCTGTCTTTGCCCATAATATGTTTAGCCATGCTGGATGGCTGAGATACCATGCATTATTTTAGTTTTTATTATGATTTTCCTTTCTTTTATGGTATTCAGTCTCATCCTCTCTAGAAGCTGGGCAGTAACATTTGGATTTTATTGAGGTCATTATGTATATATTCTGATAGGGTCTTCTTAAAGCAATTTGCAGGAATGCTAGGTGGCTCTGGTGCCGTTTTATTATATGTGAACATATGAAGCATTTGCAGATTGTTGTTTGTTGCACTTACCCCTGTATTTCTAACACAGTGTAGTAGTGAGTATGGCTAGTAGGTTTGTTTTTTCTTTTAACTCTTTGCTTATGTGTGGCTGATACAAAAAATAGCTAACTACAACAACCTACAGGTTTTGTTTTACATGTCTTAGTATCTTGGTGTGATTTCTGCAGTGACTTATTTGTCCATACAACACTGACAACTAAAATCCCAGAAGCTACAATGTGTTGCTCTCTCTTGTGCAGTGACCAGTATTAACTTTGGTATTAGAGTTCTGTTTTCTTTAATTTTTGAGTTAAGGGAACAACTTTCCAGAATCGTAGATAGCACTGATTTCTGGTAATGTAGGTCAGCAGTAAGATGTAAGAATCTTCAGGATTTTTCACTTGGATAGCAATCCTGTTTTGTGCACTGGTGATTTTGATACTGTTAGATGCAAATTCAGCACTTGTGTTTAAAACACTCTGTTCTGTTTAGGTGGTGGTTCAGCATGTGCACTTCGATGGACTTGGAAGGACCAAAGATGACATTATCATGTATGAAATCGCCGATGTTTTCAAGGCTAAAAATCTCATTGATGTAAGTACTGTAGTAACAGACCTACTGTTTAAAAATACAGAGTAGGATTTCCTTTTTCCTGCTTCGGGCAGGCAACTGAAATATGAGGCAACTTTGTGAAGTTTTACAATGATTATGATCTTGTGATATGGAAGATAAACTTAAATATGAAATACTGGCAGGTACTATATTTTCTGATGTATTCAGCTCAAAGATGTTGTGTAAGGGTACTCTCAGATATTTTTTTCAGATTCAGTCTTCCTATCTGAGAATTGTTAACTGGGTAGGTGACACTTTCAGTTAAGTTTGTTAAGATAAGTTATTGTATCTTGGCACAGATAACTGATGCCAATCTCCACAGTGGATCAAAGAGAGAGTTAGGCTGTATGCCCTTGCACTCATAAGTGGTGATTCTTTCTGGAGTATGGCTGGCAGTTAGACCTGTAAGTTGATCTAAATTTAAACAGATTAAGGTGTTCAAGGTTTTTGCCAAAAGCATAGGTGTGTAAATTTTAACTACTGAAACTTAAGAATTGAATAATAGTTTTAAATTTTTATAACAATTAGGAAGCAGACTATCAAAAGGTAGGCAATGAGCTGAATGCACTGTGTTTAATTTATTTCTTTGCAGATTGAAGTGTTAAAGTGTGATCTGTTTTTGAAGGTGCATATATGTGTCTCTATACAAAATCTGTGAATATTGTATGACTTACTTGCATTTAACTTTTTTATCCTAGTTGGGTTTTGGTAACCTGAAAGACTCAAATGGACCAGAGGATCTTTGGAGGTCCCTTCCAACCCAAACTATTCTATGACTCTATGGTTCTGTGACTAAGCTACTTATTTCATCCTGTAGGTTATGAGGAAATCGCATGAAGCTCGTGAAAAGTTGCTTCGTCTAGGAATCTTTAGACAGGTGGATGTTCTGATTGATACCTGTCAAGGTATGTATTGCCTCCTTAATCCTCACTTTTTTCCCCTCATGCAAATGTAGACCTATATATGTATAAATATATATATACACACACATGCATACCTATAATGTATATTTTCCTGTGTAATAGGTTGGACTTTTCTGTGTAAAAAAAAAAAACTTACTTTCTCATATACCTTTATATATTTTAGATGTACAGGTAGGTGTGCTATATATACAAGTGTATGTGTATGTATATATAAATAGCACTTGTATACATGCAAAAATGAGAGACTTTCCAGCACTATAATAATTACAGTACATATTCCTTCATACAAAGTATCAGAGGGACACTTGAAGAAAAGCTTGAAAATATGTCCTTTCACGTATTACACATCGCATAACTGATGTTATATCAGCACATTCCTGAGGAAATGCTAGTAATTGTATCAGTGCTTGTGATTAAAAACTGGCTTATAGTATATGTGGGACAGCTGAATGTGTGCAGGTTTCAAAGTGAGGTTCAGTTTGCATTCTTGGATTGGGGGTTGGTTTTCAAAATTGTTGCTGTTCTTTTCAGCAAAGGAAAGTTGTGTTACTGAGAAGGAAGTGCAGAGCAGTCCCACAGGTTGCTGTCACATTTACTTCAAGCAGAATTAGGTATCCTTGACAGCTGTGTTTTCAAACAGCTGCTGTAGCCAGAGCCCTGAGGCTACTGGGCAGCTTCTGCTGTTCAGCACTTGACTACAGAATGCTGGGAGCTCTGCCCTAGTGATGGTGTTCTTGCTCTGTCAGGACCACTTTAATTTCTGATCATTTTAATGTAAGAATTTATCTATGTCTTTGTTTTAAGTGGGTAGGTAACAAACAAATGTTACTGTTTCATAATTAAACTAACGTGTTGATAATTAAAGCTAGTCATGCTGCAGTTGAACCAAATTCTGCACTCATATCCAAAAGACATCTTTTTCTCAAGCATTTTTCTTTGTAATGTGGACTTACATTATCATTTAATTCAACCAGTTTTCAGATAATTCAAAGCCTCATATGTCTTCGGGGTTTTATAATAGCTTTTTGGAGACAACATAAATTTGTTTGTTTGTTTATTTGTTTATGTAGGAGATGATGCCCTTCCAAATGGTTTAGATGTAACCTTTGAGGTAACAGAATTGAGAAGAGTAACCGGAAGCTATAACACTATGGTTGGCAACAATGAAGGCAGTATGGTATGTATTATTTCAAATAATTATTAATTCCTTTCAATATTCCTCTTTCTTGTTTCAAACCTAGCAAGGAATTTGGGGATCAAAGCCAAATTATTTTCTTGATCCAGCTTTACGAAGGCTTTTCCAGACCTTTGTCTCTAAAGAGTCTTTGTATTAGTCAGGCTTTCATTCAGCAAAAGCCTATTTTGAGCTAGGGAAGAATGCTGTAGCTTCCAACTCAGTATGTTAATCTTTTAATTCTTAAAATTAAATAAATTATTTTTTTATAGTATTTAAGATGCTTTATCTAGTGGAGAGGTTTGCAAGGAGTTTAGCATTTCATTTCTGTGAGATCTGTTTAGAGTGTTTTTGTTCTCAGTTGAAATGCTTTATATTTAACTTAGACATTGTTCTTGGGTTTTACTATTTTAGCCCAGTACCAGTTAGTTTGGGCTGCAAAATGCAAGGTTTCCCAGAACCATATAAATGTTTCCATTTGATTCAGTTAAGAATGGATCAGATTAAAATCTTGTGTGAAAAATTCTTATCAGCTGACACAAAAAGTAACAGCTGTACTGTTTTCTATTAATGTCTTGTTAACAGAAGTGCTGGTGTTAAGGACATTATGCTCTCAGGTGTTCATTCCTGCACCCTTTCTGTCTTACGTGCACAGTGCAGCTGTGCCTGGGGCTGGTAGATAAGCCAGATCAAGGAACTCATCCTTTTCTTCTTAGGGATATTTTTAACATGGATAAAATACTGCATGACACAGGTGATGCTGTTTTGCAAGTGCAAGATGAATAGGAATTCAGTGAGTTGAGAGCTACTTATGCAGCTCCTCTGCCAAGAGCAGTGTCCAGATATTGTGGTCTGAATGAAACCAGTAGGAAATCCATGTTGGTTCTAGTGCCTTTGGAAGCAGTCTGAAAGCTGCTTTGGTTTCTCTTTTTGTACTCGGCTTCTATTTGATTTTAATTCATTGTGGAGAAGCAAAATGTTTGAATGATACAAAGACATGATGCTGGTATTGGCAGCAGAGATTGTTCCCTTAAAAGTTGAATAGATTTAACATTTATTCTAATCCCTTAAATTCATCTGAAGCCGATAGGTCTAACATTTTGTACTAAAATTTCTGGTTAGTTGGATAATTGCATCGTAGCCATCATCACAAAGTTCAGGTGACTGATTTGTTTCCAATAGCTGTTAGACAAAGGCAATCAGCATTTTATAGCTTTTTTACATACTTTTAAAATAGAACACACAAGAGTTGAACAGTCCTAGCACAGGTAGTGTCTGTGCTTGGAGGAAACCTGCTCCATCCTTTCTGCCAAAGGACCAAGAGCTGCCAAAGGAATTTGTGCCAGAACAGGCAAAAGTGTTTAACTAGTTTCTGGAGAACTGGAATGCTAATGTCATACTGCCATCAGGACTGATTGCAAAAGTATCTTGTTGCTCAAAACAAACATACATGAAAGTGGCTCTGTATTAATAATTTTCCATTGGCTTATTGCTGTGGTTTCAGTGAACCCTACCTGATGATCAGCTAAAAGTCTGTAGTTGTAGAGCAGCTGCTTATGGCAAAGATTTACTCTCCTGGGCTTTGAAACTGACTGGGAGATGGTGCTGGAAATAATAGCTGTACTGATGGTACAGTAAGAATGCAAATTAAGTTGCCCACTACTGGCCAGCAATAAAAATTGGATGATTAACTGTAACTTCTTCTATTGTGATGGTTTTTTCTGACACTACAAAGAGAAATCTAATTTAAAAGAAAAAACACATTCAGTTGCAACTGTATTGTCTTTCTCATTCTCACCATAGATATACTTGTCTTCAGCATATAATTAAGATGCATGACTGCAAACTATATGAAATGTGAGGGTTGTTTTGTTTTGTTTTTCATTTTCCATAGGTGCTTGGTCTCAAGTTCCCAAATCTCTTTGGTCGTGCAGAAAAGGTAACCTTCCAGTTCTCCTATGGAACAAAGGAAACATCGTATGGCCTGTCACTCTTCAAACCACAGCCTGGAAGCTTTGAAAGAAAGTAGGGGATACATGTTTTAGTACCTTTTCTTTTAGTTGAAGGAATATAATACAATAAGATCTTTCATTGAGTAATAATTAAATGTATTCATTTCCTGAGGATCTTTTAATAATGTGGCAAAGCTAGTTTCTTAAGGTTTTCTGAGAATTGAAAATTCCACCTACTTAGTTTCACTTTCAAACCTACCAATAATGTTGTGTTTCAGCTTTTCAATTAACCTGTACAAAGTAACTGGGCAATTCCCTTGGAGCTCTCTTCGTGAAACTGATAGAGGGATATCAACAGAATTCAATGTAAGTGTAGCACAAGTGTTTGTGGAAATCATGCTTCCTTTACATGTAATTCAAGTCACAGCTGGCTTTTGCGAATATTTAGTTTACTTTTTTAATGATTGAAACACTTGTGCACAGGGCTAACTTGTCATTATTTGAAAGAGGTCAACATTTTTAAAATGGTGGAGGTAATAGACCTTAGTCTTGTTAGAATTCAGTTTTATTTTGGCTGTATAAAAAATACCAGTGAATTTTTTCTCCAAGTTTTAAATCTTTAAAGTATCATTTCAGAGAGATGGCTGGCTGCTTAGCTCACTATATCAGCCCGATTGAAGATATTTCTCATTTGGGATAGAGCAAGTAATGTGCAGCTACTGGGAGAAGCTCTGTTGACTGGTTCAGGAGCTCCCTGAAAATGGGTTTCTCTCTGATCCTAGCAATTTGAAAAGACAAAGTGTACTTAAGTATAAAACAATGTTCATTAGAAAGATTTTTCATGGAAATGTTTATTTCTAACCCTAACTATTCTATGATTCTATGATTTTCATTTTGTAGCAGTTTTTCATGTCATACTCAATTTTTTATTTGTAGTTTCCAATCTGGAAGACCAATCACACACTGAAGTGGGAGGGTGTGTGGAGAGAGCTTGGCTGCCTTGCTAGAACAGCATCCTTTTCTGTTCGAGAAGAAAGTGGACACTCTCTTAAGTCTTCTCTCTCTGTAAGTCTGTTTCCTGATATTTTTTTTTTTAAGCACATTATTTTGAGTCATCTAATAGTTACAAATTACATCAGAGGAGCTTTTTGTCTTAGCAGGTTCTGTGTTTTACTTCAGACATCTCTTTCTGTGTTTGGTCACTCACACAGAGTCATCCAGGAGATCCGAAGAGAGAACATATTTTCATAGTTGACTGTTGCATAGGCCAGCTTGTTCTTTCTGCAGGGCCTCCCTCTGTCTCACTGCTGTCTCTTTTTTGCAGAATTGTCTTGTTTTTGTAAAAGACAGGATCAGTAAATGTGCTCATCCTAGAGCTGCTGTGCCCTTTCTAAATATTCTTTCCTATAACAGTTTTTGGTCACTTGTCATCTTTAACTTGTAGGTTACGAATTGTAGGAAATAAAATATTTGCAGGTTACTGTCACAGGCTTGGTGATTTACACTGGAACATTGTTGCTGCCAAGTTTCTGGTGTGTATCATGGCCTAAAGATATAAATGTGTGCATTTAGTGTGGCCTCTAAATTCAGAACTAAATTAGTCTGTAGGTAAGTTGTTCCCAAGTCCATGGAGCTACACGAGCCTTAGCTGGAGCTGTGGTTGTCTTTTGCTGTTTGCACAGTTTTTGAAAGAAAATAATACAGTCACTCTGGGGTTTTCAGCAGATATGAGAACCTGAAAATACTTTTTTGATTCTTTTCAGCATGCCATGGTAATTGATTCCCGGAACTCCTCAATCTTGCCAAGACGAGGTGCTTTGCTGAAAATTAATCAGGTAGCATTAAATCACTTGCACTATTACTGGATTTTATCTTTAAGTGTATTTGAATAAGTCTTCACCTAATTGATGTTCATGTAAAAAATGTCTACAGAGTTAAAATTAATCATAAATTGACCAGGAGTCAGTGATGACCAGTATTTACTTTTATAATGTGTGCCTTTTAAAATCATGAAACTGTTTTTATGATGGCAAATTTTCATTTTAAGACCATCGGTCCAAAACAGCACAGCCGTTTTGTCTCGCCATTAGCATTAAATTACTTTACTAGCTGAGATACATTATCCCTGACTGCACTTTACAGTAGGTATTAGTCCTTCTATTCTAATACTGTCATGTAATACTACCAGACTGTGGTCCTGTTGCTACTTACAAAGTCTGTAAATCTTAGATTTAAAAATGGAAGACTAAGTAAAACTAACTGTCAAAGTCATACGCATATATCATTCTAGCACAGAAAATGGTTTTCACTCTTGTTACTTTCAGAGCTTTTAGAAAAGCTGGCTTTTCTGGTGTATGAGTTACAACTTCAGAAGCATTAGCTTCTGCAATGCTTTAGAAGCAGGTTGCTTTGAAATGCCCCTGGAAGCAGAAGTACTACTGTTTCTGTAAGCAGCAGGGAACTGTTCTGTTTCTGAGTGAAAAAGGTGGTCATAATGCGGGGTTTTGTTAACATACCATTTCTTATGTGCTGCCTCTAACACTGATTCAGGTCACTTATTTTCAACTTGCATTGGTGTAATGCAATAGGCTTGCTGGTTTTTCAGCGCTGCCTTAATGCATATGAAATCTTTTCAGGTCTAGGTGAATACAGTAAGAGTTCCTATTTTGGGTGTTGAATTTTCCAGCTCCATTCTATTTTGCCATCATTTACAAGAATGACTTAGAAAGCAATGCCTTGGCTTAATATACGGAGGGAAAAAATGCTGTTCATTGTTCTAAGGGTCATGTATGTTTTTTTTGTTGATTCAAAATTCAGTTTTCTCTCCATACCAGTGTATCTGTATTTCTTGTACAGAATGCACTGCTTGTGCTGATGCAGACATGATGAACTTTTAGAAGGAAGAAACATGTAATATCCATTACAACTTTCATAAACTTATGTCTTTGCAGGAGTTGGCTGGCTATACAGGTGGAGACGTGAGCTTTCTAAAAGAGGATTTTGAATTTCAGTTGAATAAGCAACTTATCTGGGATTCGGTAATTTTTTAAAAGATATTTTAGTGATTGATCTGATTTAGCAAATAAGGTTATTAAGTCTGTTTCTTATGATGATTTTTCACCATGGATAAGAAGATGATTGTGAAAGTGAAAGATGGATGGTGTAAATATGTTGATTTGTTTCTTTGAAAGTGAAATACTCTTATTTTTAACCTGACATTTCAGCCATGTACAGTCACTTGAGAAGTGGGCATTTTGGAAAGAATGACTAGTCTGACAGTTAACGATGTGAACTGTTCTCCTTTCAGAAGTAATGTTGGGCATGTCTGTTCTTTGTGATCTTTATAAAGAGTGATTTTCCAAAACCAATGACAGCCTTTGTTCTGTCTCTTTCACCTGGTTATGAATATTCTGAATAACCTTGGGATAGTTTTCTTTTGTCATTGTAAATTACGAGTATTTGATTGTTAATTTTGATATCATGGCATGTAATTATTTCTTCTATGTAAAATTATTGGGAAAGAATGGGAAGACTGATTTCACTACGGCGCTAAGCCTGCACTAAAACATTTTGTGCTCAATGAACAATTTAAGTTCCAATAAGAAAGGCATGTGCTGCAATGAGAAGTTTATATGAGCCCCTAGTCAGCCACACCATAGGCAGAACACATCACAGGTGATATGGTACCGTGTCTGCAGTAGTATTTTGGTTTAGCGTCACTGTGTGGTTTTGAAATGAAATTCCTATGCCGTTATCACTTAAAGTCTTGGTTTGGTTAGCAGAGCTGTTCTTGTGTATCCCAACTAGATTTCCTTCTGAGGAAGCAACACTGTTCATGTTTAATGAACTTTACGAGAGCATAGAGATTTTAAGATTCAGGCAGCTTTACAGTTTCATAGCTGAATGGGGAATTAAACAGCAACTTCTATTATGAAGATTTAAAAATCAGAGGTTACAATAATTTGCATCCCAACATACCAAAAGAAAAAAAACAAACCTAAACCAGAATGAAAAAGCTTTTAGTATGAGGCAACTTGGTTTGACCAGTGAGGCCAACACAGAAGGACATTTTAAGGCTGTTTTCTATATCCCTTTCTTACTACATTATTATGTTTGCACCTTCCATGTGGTAGGAGAAAAGGCATTGCCTGATGAGTGCACTTCTAATCATCTTACATTTATTTGCTGACTTTTAGCTGAGAAAGACAGTGTATTCCCCTATGAAGTAATTTAATGGCCTCATGGCTACGCAGAGAGGACTTGTTCTTACCCATGACTGCTAATATGCCTACATTGTGAATGGAAGTGAAGTGTATCTCATCATGTGGTGTACATAATTTTATATCGCCCATTGTTCATGAGTGTAGATTTGGCATGCAGCTGGCTTTTGCATATGCCATGTGTTGTGTAACCAGACATGTGTGCTGCCTGAATATGGCAGGGGAAGCATCTGGGGACACTTGGGGCAGAAGGTAGCAGGAGTGTGCTGTAAAATTAGAGATATTATCCAACACCTTTAGGCTAGGTATTGCCAGTAAATCTCACCATCTGGCAGTAGTACTTCTACTTGGTACACAGGCATTACTTGGATTTAAAATTGCCAGGTCTAATTTATGGCAGCAGTGTTGTCTTACTTCAAGACATGAAAATTCATAAGAAAATAGGAGCTGGATGAGTGTTCTATTTAGCAATAGTAAAACTAGCACTTGGTGCAGATATGCTATTGTCAACTTTTTCAAGGTGTAGCGCTACATAAACGAAAGAGGGCAGCAGTGATCAAGAGTTCCCTGAAAATGCCATTGCTGCTGTTGATACCTATGCGTGCACTGTGATCATCTGTTATTTTTTGTCAGACTGAGGGGAGCTCTGCCTGTTAGTGAGCGATTAAATTTTACTAATACTGTTTTTAGGGTAATTAAGTAGCATGTATTAATAAACAACTTCTTATTCTCTCCAAAGGCTTTTTCAGCATCACTTTGGGGTGGAATGCTAGTACCTATTGGAGACAAGCCATCCAGTATAGCTGACAGGCAAGTTTTTAGATGGTTCTTAATTTCTTTCTACAGGTAACATAGAAAACTATAGTAGAAGAGCAAAGCCATAGTAGTTCTGTTTCTGAGGAGAATAAAACGTTTCTAGTTAGCTTTAATTGCACGTTAGTGCTCAAGCTGTACCTTTTGGTTTTGATTTTCATGTTGGGATAGTATGTAGTAGCTCTGCTTGCCAATATTTATGGTTGCAAAATGATACTTATCATCTGCAAAATTTTCTGTCAGGCATAGATAACACTGTAGGTATTTTTAGACGTAAAGCTGTATCGTAAGTGTTGGCTTTTTTGGTGGTTTTGCTCTCTTAACACCTGTGTTTAAAGATCTCTAGCAGAAGCCATTTAGACTTAAATTTGTTTACAATAAATGCTAAATACTGAGTGTCAACTTCACATATGATAGATCTTAACTATAGTATTTCTATCAAAATTATTACAACAGACAGACTCAGCATTCTGGTTCTTATTCAGTTCTGGGGATGCTTCTGTTTTGATTTTTTTAACTGATGGAAGAATTATTTTTATTATTAATAAAATAATAATAATAAAATAATAATAAAAATAATTTTATTTTGAAAATTCTATCAAATGCATCAGGATTTAAATATCATTTCTTGTATTTCTTTAAATACACTTTACTAAACCAGTTACAAAGTTACCTGTAACTCTGAAAAGCAGTGTCAGAATTTTGGCTAGATATTTTCAAAGACATCCTTTCAAGGGAAGCTTTAAATTGAATTTGACTGTATTCACTAGGTTTTACCTTGGTGGACCAACAAGCGTGCGTGGATTCAGTATGTACAGCATCGGACCCCAGAGTGAAGGTCTGACATGCTTAAAATTCCACTCCTCTGACAATACTGTAAATATTAGTGGGTAACAAAGAGTCATATTCTGGCCTTAAGCTTTGTATAGCTTAAAAATAATTGCTCCCACTCTGCATTTTGAATCTGAGAAGTGTTATGTCATTGTATATTAGTTCACAATGGAATACAGCCTGGTAGTTCTTAGTAAGGCCATTAGCTAATTTTATAAACCAACTGTGTGTTCCAACTTGCATACTACCAGTGTGTCAATTTAATTAGTAAGCAACCTTCAAGCTGAAAAGGGTCCCAAAAGATGGTTATAGCAACATCCACATTAAATCTGTTTGCTACAGTGTATATTCAGGTAGCCTCGGGGAAAGGTAATCTGACCAACAGAGGTGTTTTGAGAGCCAGGAGCTTCCACAGTTTTATTGCTGTTGACTTGCTGTTATCAGTGGATTCAGTATTCAGTATATTTTAAAGCAAATTGTTTAATTTTATCAGTTTCCCACTTTTAGAACTAAGGCAGGTATTTCAGTGGTGTTTCAGTGTTCAGGAGGTAGTCTCTGATGAAACACAAGTGGGTGCATGTCTCAGGCTGTCTTAGCGAGGGAGAGAATTGAAAGGGCATTTCACTTGGAAGGTTTAAAGAATTGTGTAAGTGCTAATTTCTTTACTTAATAATGGTGAGGTTGGAGAGAGCTAGAAGAGAATGGCAAGAGTTGGAAAGGGTAGAAGTGTGACCTAAAACAACTTAAGGATGTGGTTTTGTACCTTTTAATAACTGGTTCTTTGAATATATGCTACAGTATATGCTTTTACTCTAACATTTTACCAAAACAGGTGATTACTTGGGAGGAGAAGCCTACTGGGCTGGAGGCTTGCATCTATACACCCCTCTCCCTTTCCGGCCAGGCAGGGGAGGGTTTGGAGACCTTTTCCGAACACATTTCTTCCTTAATGCTGGAAACCTCTGCAATCTGAACTATGGTAAGACTCAGTAGAACTATGTATAATTCTTTTATATATATATGAAAGCAAAAAAAAAGAGAGCTTTTTGGTGTCTGTTTACACAGAAGAAGTTTGTTTACCGTGTATATTTTGGTGCCTGTAAAAAGCTACTGCTATTAACTTGTATATTTGACAGATTGCCAGTAATTTTTTTAGCTCTTTGAATAAATTCAAGCACAACTTGTACAGAAGAGAGCTGGAATGGTAACAGTAATATCTGTGAATAGTTGATGTTCTCAGACTAATGTGGTAGTTGATTAACACCTGCTGTCGTACACTGTTCTGGAGGGAGACTGGAAGATGATGTTCTAGTGGGATTCTAATGTTTCCTAGGATGAACTACATAAAAAGTGGCATGAGCATAGGTGAGGGTGCAGTAGCTGATGTGACTTTTTTTCCCTCTCCCATTCCCAATTTTTTTCAAGATGTATTTCAGTGTATCAGTATATGACTTTTCAATATCATTTTAATCAGTTTGGGGGTATAGTGATGTTTGATGACTGCCTCACTTGATGGAAGAGAAGCAGCATCCATACGGGAGTGAGACACTTTATGCACAATTGAAGGTTAACTGATTATAAGAGACCTACTAAAGACATTTAAGTCTTTAGTATTCCATATTCATGCAGATAGGTACCCTATAATGGGAAATGAAGATCAACCAGCAATCCACCTAAAATCATAGTAGTTTGAGTCCAAGACAGTTGAAGTTCATGGGAGTTGCGGGTAGTAAATAAATTTTGAGTCTGCAGGTGCTGCTCCTAAATAGTCTGGCTTCTAGCTCTGAAAATCCAGTTAGCTGCTGACCACCTTGACAGCTTAATTTGATTCTTGTTCTCCTGCTCTTTTGCTTTTAGGCGATGGTCCCAGAGCTCACCTGCAGAAGCTGGCAGAGTATATCCGATGGTCTTACGGTGCTGGAATAGTGCTTCGACTTGGAAACATTGCTAGATTAGAACTTAACTACTGTTTCCCCATGGGAGTACAGTCTGGTGACAGGTTTGTCTTTTAAACCAAATCCTTTAGTAGTAACTGTTTTTAAAGGTTACTGCACTTATATCTAGCTTTGTCAGAGATTTGCTGCCCTTTAATTTTGTTTATTCTGTGCTGATTTAGAGATATTTCAACACTTGATTCTCTTCTTTCTGCTTGCTATATTCATACTGGTTTCACAGTGCTTCTTGATTGAAGACTCTGTTTCTCGAGTTTCAAAGATCACTGAAAGCAGCTGTTGAAATGTATGAATAGCTGTGCAGCAGGTTTTATTTTTTTATGGGAAATGATCCTTCAAACAGATCATGGTATTTTCTTAAGTCTTCCAAAAACAAATGAGTGGATAAATACCGAGTTTAATGTCTGCTTGAAAGATGAAAACAAGTTTAACTATATGTAAAGGCAAAGGCAAAGGGAGAACAAATTAATTTGTTAGCAATGAATTATCCTACATCAAGCAATAAGAAACCTTCAGGGGGCCTGCTGTTACCTGTGAAAGCTATGTGAGAAACGTATTTGGTATAGGAGTTGGATTATGTTTTTACTTCTCATTCATATGAAATGTGAATTAATAACAGCAATTTGAAAATTATGGGCTTGATTTTGCAAATGTAAATGCTCCATATGATTGATGCAGTGGCAAAGCATTTACTTAAAAAAGCCTTTGTCAACTAAAATTTGAATTATAACTTTCCAAAGACTGAAAACCTTGGAAATTTGGGGATGGGGAGAATTGATTTTAACTTCAGCAGTATCTTATATATCACTTACATTATTTATTGTTTCTTTTCAGGATATGTGATGGTGTTCAGTTTGGAGCAGGAATCAGATTTCTATAATACAGAAACATTTTACATCAGTGTATGAAATTGTGCTCTGTAACTGAAATCAACACTATAATACAGCTTGATACTTTTGAAAAACAGTGCACATCTGAGTGATTTACCTCAGACTCCACAAGAAACCGCATTAAAGAATTAGGCTGTAAAGGTTCATTGTACTTCTGATTCTTATCAAAGATGGGAGAGTTTTTCTAGCTTTTAATTATTAGTTGTTACTTAAAATATTAAAAGATTTGTGTCAGGAATTTGTTCTTGGATACAGTTCACATGATTATAGTTGTCATTGGTCTGCATCGTCTTCACTTTTCCAGCCACAAGTCTCACAAGTGTTGGGACAACCAAGTGTGAGTATGGCTAAAAGTGGAAGTTGAGGGGGAACAGTCTTCCTCCATCATCAACTTCTGTGAGCAAATGACCCTGAAAAAATTCTGTTACTCATCAAAAAGTATTTTACACAAGTAATGGTTGTGAGTGAGCTTAAATGTTCTGATTTGAATATCTTAGAGTCATAGAATGCTTTGGGTTTTAAGGGACCTTAAAGATCATCTAGTTAAACACTTGTGCCATGGCCAGGGACACCTTCCACTAGACCGGGTTGCTCAAAACCCCATCCAACCTGGACTTGAATACTGTCAGAGATGGGGCAGCCACAGCTTTTCTGGGCAACCCGTGCCAGCGCTTCAGCACCCTCACAGTAAAGAACTTCTTCCTAAAATCTAATCTAAATCTACCCTATTTCACCGTTGTAAATCATCTATATTTAAATGCCTTCTATAATCTGAATTGCATACTGTAAAAATTTAAGTTGGCTGTCTAGCACAGTAAATACTAAAATTCAAGAATGCCTTTGAAAGTTTCAGAGTTCTCAACTCTGCAGTGTTTTTGCATGTTTTGATGCTCTCAGCAAAACCATTGATTTGGGTCTTTGGAACAAATCTTTTTGTAGCAGTTGCAGAAAGGGGTGTATACACGTGATCACGTGATACTGCCTTGTTTCATTTTGTGTGAGAGGCATGCTGATCTACTGACTTCTTTAGTTGCTGATTACACTTAAAAGTGACCTCCTGCTTTATCAGCTGGCGTATATTTCAGTTTCTGTAAGGTCAGACTAACTCAATAGTAGTCCTAAAAAATTATCTTTGAAGGTAGTTACATACTAATTTTTTTATATGTATTAATCCCAAGTTCTCAGTCCTAAGAGAGTCTGAACCTAGAGGCCGCTTTCCCTGCAACTAAATTCACATTTTTTTGTTAAGTGTTGGTAAATTTAAAATCGTAATACAAAGAAGATTCTGGAAGAGTAGAACAGAAATACACCAGCTATTACACACCTGGTTTCTTCTACTGTGGTAAAGACACAGGTTTGGACGTAACTGGCAAGCTACTTTGCCGAATGCTGCCAGGGCTGCCATGATATCTTGTTCCCAGTCAAGTTAGCACTGCGACCCCACTCTCTTTAAAGAAAACACAGTTATACATTGCTTCAGCATTGGTATATACTGATGTTGCTGTAGTACAGTAATTAAATCTGTTGGTAACTCACTTTATAAATACAAAGTCTAGAAATTTCTGCTTAGTTTTGCAGAGCTCCACCTGGATAAACATGCTTTCCTTCTTGTAAAGGCTTGCAGATGTTCAAAACATAACTGTGGGAATGACAGAAGTCAGGTCTATTTCAAAGAACAAAGTTTAATATGAAAAACCTTTTTCAGTGTATGTGTCTAACAGCTACTGTAGCAAATTCATGTTTAACAAATACTTTCTGATGATTTGTTGTTGTTATGAGATAAAACATAGCACTATGTTATGAATGTCAACAGACGTTACTAGTTTTTCTTCAGCACTATCTACATTTTGACATATAAAAGTATTTTTAATGGGAATGTTTAGATACCAAAATGCCATTAGGATTTTCTCCTAGGAGTTTGACCTTTATTTTGGTCCTTTTGATAAAATTAGATATATTTTATGGCCTTAAGAACTCTTCTGTGCACGTTTGTTACTGAAGGCTGCTCAAGTGTAATACTTGAATATTACACAAGCAAGCCCTAAGTGAGTATCAGTTTTAGAGAGCATATTCATCTTCCTGAGTCGAGCAGGCCTACAGAAACAGCCTTGGCCTCAGGCTGCACCTAGTCCACAAGTAAGTTTTGAGAGAATTGTGAGAAATTAAGGGATGAATTGGGGAAATGCTGAAGGCTGAAGAGGCCTTTCAGGCACGTCTGCTGACAGACCATGCTGTAATGCACATAGGAGGATTGTCCAGTAAGTATAAAGGGAGGAAAACTATGTTACATGAGCCTTTGAGTCACTGTTTCCCTACCTGTGCTGCAAGATAACATGTCCTTACAACATATAACAAGTGCACAAAAGCTATTACAGTATATAATGTATTCCTTGGGATTACAACTGTTACTTCTATAGAATATTTATGTGATTAATATATCCCCATTGAAAATTTGTTGCAGAGGCTCTTAATAGAGGGATAAGATAGAAATCAGAATCCTACTAGAAGCTGCTGTCCTGCTAAGCAGACTCTGTGACAGAACAGCTCTGGACAGATCTGAAGCAAATCTCTTGGCTGATTGCATGTCTGTCCGGAGTACATCTGTGGAAGGATAAAAGGTGCAGGGATGGCCTGCAGTCATATCTGTGATTCAGAAGCATGGTATTTTCCTAAATGGATAGTTTTGGAAGTCACTTTACCTACTGTGTAGTGAAGGTGTTCTTGCTTTTATAGCCATGTGCAGCATTAGGGACAGTAAGATGGTGATAAATGCTTCCAGGTAGTACACCTGAAATGCCCACCCATGTGCTTGTGAACCCTTTGATTTTATGTGAACAGTGCTGAGGATGCAAATGCCATCTGAAGCCCAGAGTTTCTTCAGTCCTCTCTAGAGGCTAAAGGAGGGCTTTTGGGGACAACGTCTGTACAGCCTTGGTGCTGAGACATTGGGGAGGTAGCAGTGATGTGTCAAAAGCAGGGCTAGTATTTATATCACCAGTTCTAGGATGGTGATTTCTTGGAGCTGTTCCACTTACATTAAAAAGTTGAAAATGCTGTTTGTATCAGCAGATCTAGTGGTATTAGGTACTGTTAATGAGTAAGCTGTTAGGGAGCTTTGGGGAAGGTGGAAGAGGAAATTGGGAGGGTGTTAGAATGCATGGGGCAGGTTTGCTGCCATGCTGTTAAGAGCAGAACTGTATTTGATTTAAAAATAAAATACAATGCTGACCTCAATAATACAGAAATGTGCCTCAACATAAGTATGTTTGGGTTGCTTTGTGCCTTTTTAATACAGCTCTGTACTTGCTGCCAATGAAAATCTCTGCAGAGATGTAGCAACTAATGTTTGATATGTACTTCCCTTCCAAAATACCTGTTGGTTTTGTTGGGCATCTGTGTTGAACTTGCTGTCCATGTTGTGCCCCTTGAGGGAAGCATTCAGAGTCTTTCTCTTCCGTGTGCAATAAAACGCACAGGTCCACAGAAAAGTAAGTGGTGTCAGGTTGGGTCTCCTTCCTCTGGGATGCTTGAGCAGTTACTCAAATGAAAACATCCCCTGTGATGTGTCAGGGGACAAAAAAAATGTACTCCTTCATGGGAATATTAAGGAATTGGCCAGATAATCTGGGAGATGATCCTGAGCCTTGTATGGGGATAACATCAGAAAATCATCCTAAAATTACAGAATTTGGGTGTACGGGATTGTAGGTTTGCTCTGCCATTCTTGTCTCGTTTTTAAAAGGGCTGGAGCTTGGCAGCCACAGCAGTAACAGTTCTTTTCAGGAGGATTTTTACAGAGCTTCTCTACCACGGAAAGGTTTTTGAAATAGTTACTTGAACGTGTGTTTTATGAAAACAGTGCAACATCGCTGTTAGCAACTGCAGTGCTCTTGGATGATTTTAACTTAATTGGGATGAGACTTTATGCTGAGTGTATTCTGTGCAAGCCAGAGCATTCAGCTTGCTTCCATTGTTAAGCACAAAATGCAATTGGCCTGTAGCTGTTAGAACTAATGCCTGTGGGATAAATGGTGTTTGTAAAAGTTTCTCAGTTCAATAGAATGCAGAATAGAAAGTATTCTGAAGCAGATCAGTTAAGTGGTACATTTCTACCTCCGTACTGAATATTATATTGTTAAAATGAGCAAATGTAAATTCAGATTTCTGAATGTTCAGCTGAACATTAAAGCTGACAGTTTAGGGCTGAAATTAAAAACTGATTTTGAACTAGGTTTAGTCTTTCAAATGTAATTATTTCTGAAAAGGTGTGTTTATGCTCCGGCAGTTTTCTTAATGAATATTTGCTCACAGGAATCTCATCCCTGATAAGAGGTAGGACACCAGGGAGCATTTTCTGGGATGTAAAGCACTGGTAGCTCATTTAGTATGGAAGGTTTAAACAAGTAACATAGCTGACTGCCTTCATCTTTCTCTTTAGACAGAGTATGCACTTCAGACTAAAGGCTGTTCCACTCATGCAGCAGCAGCAGCTGTGTCAGTTTTAATGGCCATCAGCCAGTTAAGTTATTAAAGACTAACACACACTTGATGAAAGTACTGTTACAAGCTCTTCATTTCCTATTTAGAAGAGCACTGTTTGAACCATCGTGATGTGACTCAAAAAGACTCTTAGGTTTTGGTTTGGGTTTTTTGAAGCATGTGTAATATTGCTTTCTGTTGCCACAGGCGCTGTCCTTGTCTCAAATAACCCAGCCTCCTTTTACTTTGCAGAAGGCTGACATTTTCTACTTGGCTACATATTTAAGCATTTCTTTGTAAATACATAGGACATTGAAGTCAGAGCTGAATGGGTCTGTTATTATTAAAAGGTGCTTGCTTATAAGTCATTACATCTTGAGTGCTGTACTTGGGTCAGTTAAGTTTTATATGCTGTTTGGACTGTCTGTATAGCTTGTGAACCAGTTTGCCTGCTTTCTTGCTTGAAATATATATTCACAGATTTTATGATTACAATTTCATTTTTAAAAGTATGAGGATTGATCTTTTTTCCTTCCCTAGAGATTGAATAAAATGCTTTTTCCACACTGCCTTAAAGCTAAATTTGATATCAGACTTCAGTATGAATTTATTTGTGCCTTAGTGTTACTTGTGGTTTTTGTATGGATTCAGGTTATTTTTG